AGAAAATGTGTGTTGGGGGAGGCAACTGCCGATATCTCACATTATTAATTCTTCACCCAGCACCTAGTAACATTTTACCCTGATATACCTTCACCAGCAACCAAACTCCTGAATTTCAAGCATAGTTTAGAATAGAGGCTACACAAAGGCTTTTGACAAAGTATGCCACAAGGATCTGATAGAACTGTTAAGCAACCTTGAAATATTTGGGAAAGATATCAGAATAATAATACTGGCAGCAAACAGCATGCATGCACATAGTGAATATACAAAAACAGAAAGGGGTTTAAGGCAAGGATGCATCTTCTCACTCAACCTGTTCAACCTATACAGCGAGGCAATTCTGAGAGAATTGGAAACCCTACAAAGACTTAGTATTGGCAGCTACAATCTTAACAACGTAAGATACGCAGATGATACAGTACTGATAGCAGACACAGAAAAGAAATTACAAAATCTCCTACAGAAGGTAGTGATTGAAAGTGAGCAGGGACTAAGCATAAACTACAAGAAAACAGAATGCATGGTCATCAGTAAAAGGATGAGCCCGAAATGCGATTTGCAGGTCGGGAACACTAGAATCAGGCAGACACAGAAGTTTAAATATCTGGGAAGTGTTTTGACAGAGGACGGTAAGTGTGACACTGAGATCTATAGATGTACTGGGATGGCCAAGGATGCATTCCAAAAGCTGAGCAGAGTATTGCAAGACAGGAGGATTTCTTTGGTAACAAAGAAAAGAATACTGAGCTGTTATGCGACATCTGCCCTTCTTTACAGCAGAAATTGTTGGACAATTTTCTCAAGGATGAAGAAGAGACTCAAGGCAACAGAAATGTGGTTCTGCAGAAAGATGCTAAGGATATCATGGAACAAACATGTGAGCAACAATGAAGTCTTAGAAAGGATGCAAACAAGAAGAAGGTTTATAATTTACATCAGGCAGATGCAGGTGAAGTTTCTGGGACGGATAATGAGGAAGGAGGGCCTGGAGAATCTGATACTCATGGGTTGAATAGAAAGGAAAAAGAGACTACAGAAAGTAACACATGACATTCCTGGCGGGCTTGATCAGGTGGATGACAGAACGTAGTCTGGGGGAGGCAGCAAAGGGAAGGAACTTGTTGAGAGCTGCAAGTGATAGAGGGAGGTGGAGAGCCATGATCACCTATGTCCTGAAAGGACATGCACATAAAAAGAAAGAAAGTAATCAAATGTTGCCAATATGATTGTATGGAAAAAATGGTCATAAGCTTCACCAAAACCTTAGACATCTACTGTTTGTACCTTGAGTATGTGTCGTGAAGTAGAGGTTAGCACTAATCAGCCGCTAGACTACTACTACTGGTGGTTATTCTCAGTGACCACTTATAAGAATGTTTGCTTATGCCTATGCAAATTATGCATACTAATTTGATAGTATCACTACATCTCCCTGAACCATAAGAGCTTTATTCCTCTCATAGATCTTGTACTCCTTCTTCTGCTATTTTCATCACTCTGCTCTATTTCTCTCTCTCCCATATTTCTTTCCTTGGGAGACCTCGATCTGTCCCGAGCTAGGCTGTAATCATATGTTTTCTTGTATAATCTGGTCTTCGTCCGAACTTTCAGACTCCTTCTGGCCCTCTTCATCCTGCATTGTTTCCTTTTCTGACGTTTCCTTCTGTAATGGTTGTTCTACCAACTCATTATCAGATGGAATTGACATTTCTTCGTCATTTCGTTCTTCCTCTTCACCCTGGGTCCTTATTTGGTCAGCATGGGCCAACACACTATCGCCATTCTCTCTATTTATTATGGCTGTATTATGGCCTTTTTGCATTATAAACTCGGCTCCTTCTGGATCTGCATCCTTGCTCTTTTTGTACCACATCTTTTCACTTGTAGAGTATGACATAGTTAGCGGAGCTCTAATCTGTCTCCCCATTAAAGCTGATGGGCTTTCGAGTCTTCCCGCATGTGGTATTGTGTGATAACTTAAAAGCAGCCTCAATAGAAAAAATTCTACTTTTTTCTTTTTTGCTGAGAGCATGCTTTTAACCCCTTTTTACGGTCTGTACCATTCTTTCTGTTAGTCCGTTTGATTGAGGGTGATATGGAGGAGTTTATATGGTTTACACCCTATTTTTTTCTAACCATATGTTAAGTTCTTCCTCAACAAAATTCTGGTGCATTATCAGATACCAAGGTTTTTTGTACCCCATTTCTAGAAAATATGACTCTTAGAATTTGCTTTATAGTAGAACTTTTTCTTGTTTGTAACCTTTTTATTTCAGGCCAACCTGAAAAGGAGTCTACTAATATTAATTCATGGTCCCACTCCATTAACGTATGCATGATCCATATGGACCTGACTCCATGGCTCCACTTCTTTGGGCCACATTATGTAACTTGGTTTTAAGTAAAGTTTCTTAATTCTTTACATTTTTTACACTTCTTTACATATTCCTCAACGTCTCTTGAATAACCCGGCCACCAAGCTTCTAGTTTTATCCTTTTTTGTGTGGCCACTACTCCACAGTGTATATCATTATGTACACTTTCTATTATCGGTTTTCTTTGTGTTTCTGGGGGAACTACCAGGTCCCCATTGCAAATCACTCCATCTTCTATTGTTAATTTGTGCCTTATTTCTTTATAAGGTCTTTCCGCCCTAGAACAATTTCCCCACGAGTTTTTCCTTATTCTCGATACTATCCTACTTAACACAGGATCATGTTTCGTTTCCACAGCCTTTCTGTCTAAAGACAAAACATCAGTCTCTATCAAGTGTAGGAATGAATCTTCAAATTCTTCCTCCATTTTGCCTTTTGACTCCTTGTAAAACCTCAATCTTGATAGTGCGTCCACATGTGGAATTGAATTTCCTTTGACATACTCTATATCAAAGTCAAATGCCATCGATCTTATAACGCCCATTGTAGAATCCTTTGATGTCATGACTTTGGGTAATTCTTTCCTTGGGTTAAATATAAACTCTAATAAATATGATCACTTCTTAAAAAGAATTTTTTCCAATTAAAACTGTCAGGCTCTGGTAGTTGTCCACATGATAGCCAATGCTTCTTTCTCTATGTTCGAGTAATTAAATTTCAGTGTTCGTTAACCTTCTATAAACAAATACATTATCGGATGTCCTTCTTGTGATAATATTCCCGATATTGAATGTTAAGCTTGCATCTGTAGTGAGTGTTATGTCCTTTTTTGGATCAAAAATTTTCACTACAGGTTTCTTTGACATAATTTCTTTCAATCTTTCAAAAGCTTTTTTCTGTTCGTCTGACTACATAAATTCCACCTTCTTTTTTCTTAAATTTGGAAACGGTTCTGTCAAGTCTGTGTATTTCGGTAAGTATCGCCTGTAAAAATTTACCAATCCCAAAAAAGACTCCAATTCTTTTTTATTTGTAGCTACTTTTAGTATTTTTTCTATCAATGCTTGGTCTGGTGATATACCTTCTTTTGAATTTGGACAGAGGACGGTAAGTCACTTATAAGAGTGTTTTCTTATGCCTATGCAAATTATGCATACTAATTTGCTAGTATCACTACAGTATGAAAACCAATGTTTTTTATATGAAACAAGACTTAATGAACCTAAATAGATTTGAAAACATTTTTCAAACAAATTGGGCAGAATAATTGACATCAACCAACAATAGAAAAAGAGTGCAGAAAAGTTCTCAGTCAGACCAAATTCCTAAAATCTGACCAAATGACTAAACAGAATTTTTTTAATCTCTACTTGTTTGAAAACTTAAGCATCACTTCATACCATGTGAACCTGGACTTGTTCTAGAACCAAAACTTTGAACAAGATATAGTAGCAAATCACCCACATTTTCTCCATATTCCATCAGTGAGAAGTAAGTTCCATTGTAACAGCTTCTTCCTGCAAACCACTGCTATATCGAACCAATTCCTAAGAGGATGTTTCTTCAATCACTGCAATCTTAACCTATTCAAGGCTAGGGTTAATTGTTATCTCCCACTCCTATCTGCACAAATTGCCTCCTAACATAACCCTCTACTTTGAGTGGTCCCCAGGCCTTGTAAGGAGTGAACCTGACTGTTAAAAAAAAAGAAAAAAAAAAAGAGAGCTAGATGAGAAATACATTCATTTTGTTGGATATTATGAATATTAAACTGACAAAATAGACTTGATTATAAATGATTTGGGATTGAGGTGGATGTTATATATTGTATCTGCAATCAATACCTGTCTATACCTTTTACTACTTAAAGAAATATCTGCATCTTCCTCATATGGCATTTTGTTAATTGCTACTTGTTAAACATGAATGGTAGTTAAAAATTCATACATCATCTGATGACACATGAACAAAACTTTAATTGATGTTTGGAGTTTGCTTTGATTAATTACATGTCTTTTTGTTAAAATTTGCGCTTTAGCAAGATTCAATCATTTTCTAACAAGTAATATCTAACACCATCAATCTATCAATTGATATTTAAAAAAAAAAAAGAGTCTTCCTTAAATGCAGCTCAGAAAATGGCTTCAAAATCTTAATTTTGAACTGAACAGATCAAATACAAACACCAGATCATTAAACTCTGATGTAAGCTAAATATGTCGATTCATGAATCTGACTTCCTATGATTAAGAAGTGGTAGTCTTTTTTTCATTAAAAATTATTTTTATTGTATGAGAAAAGAGATCAATATTTGATTCAATTCAAATCATTTGAAATTTACCAAATACAGAAAAAGATAGAAACATCATTGGTTGATGTGTTATGTATATAGACATAAGTATAGAAATGTTTCCAGCCCAATCAACTTTCCAAAATCAGTATTCTGATGTTTGGTCTTTGAAATACTGTTTTTGACAAGTGAGTCAGGCAGAGACTTTTTTCAGCTCCCCTACCACTCTGCACATTTGTATATATTACAAATATATGAGTCAATTAGAATATATTTAGAAAGATGTGACTAGTTTACAAAGAAATCAAATTGGAAAGTTATATAATACTCACTCTATTAAAAGTGGTTTTCAAAACAGCTTTTTCCAACTGTGTAGTAATTTCATTTGTCATTGTACCCACAAACTTGTCATAATTACTTTTAGTGAATATATATATGAAATTAAAAGTCAATATAAATGTCAATGTCAGTGTAAATTGTATTTCCTTTTAAGCAATCAAACCCTAGGTCAATATGAAGATTTTTTATATTTCTTTCTAAAGATCTATTTTTCTTCATTTATGCGATTATGGAGGGAGAAAAATGTCTCCAAAATTATTAGTGGTACATAAACGAGTGATAAACCAAAATTGCAATTTTTAAATTTGTCTCATCAGCTAAAATTTATTTTCCATTTTAAAGCCTAAAAAAATCACAACTATTTTCAAATTTCTGTAAACTATCAGAGATTGCATTCTTAAAACTTTAGCATATTTAGATAAATCTTTTTTTTTTCTTTTTTTTTATTATTTCACTCTAATCAAGGCTATAAAGGCACTAAGACACAAGAGATTGAAGGAAACTGAGAAAATGTTGCTGAGGAGAAAAAGGACAATAAAAAGAACAGTATTCTAGGGAAGAAAAGATTATGACATATTAAATTTTCAAAGATCATAGTTGACAGGAAGACAAGCTGGAAAAGAATTCCATAGACAAACAAGAAGTGCAAGAGAACAACACATGAAAATAGAACTTATGCCTACACTTAACAATTTCAACTGTAAAATGATGTGACCCAGCTGCAAATCTAGGACTATGCTTAAATTCATGAAGTTGAGGTACCAAAGAGGAAAGTTCATTAGAACAATTACTATGAAAGTATTTATAGAAAAGGCTCAGGGAAACAGTGTTGTGGTGGTGAGAAAATGACTGAAGTAGAGATGCCAGTATGATGATGATGATGATGATGATGATGATAATTTCAGAAATTAAGATACAGATCTTATGAACTTATTACACTTCATCAAAACAATTGCCATAAAAATATTTATAAAAAAGGCACAGAGAAGCTGTGGTATAGCTAGAGTGTGCATCACTCGGGACAGAGTATGTGCTACCCATGAGTTTGCCATCCCTACACAACCAATAAAAAAATGTAACATATTGCACAGTGGCTCTCTCTTAATATATTAAATACTTATTAAGTATTAACAGGCCCAAAAGACAAAAAATAAACCAACACTTAGCCTTACTTAAACAAATTTCTGTCAAGAAAAATAATTGAAATTTATATGATAACAATCAAGATGTGTCTTCCACACACAGTGATGTTACAGCATTAAAAGAATGCAGCCTGAGTCTGTTAGCCGGTTGTCAACAATGATAAAACAGCCCTGAATCACATAGACATATGTACCAGAGTTTAAGTTACTTGAAATTGAAAAGATACTTCAACTGTGAGTAGTGTCCCAACATTAAAAACACTTATTTCAATACAGGCTTATACAGTAGACTCAAAAGTACTGCCTCCATATAAGTATTACTTGGGACAGATTGCTACCCTCTAGCTACACTACAGAGGAAGTTATGGTATGTTACAGTGGTGAGAAAGTGATTGAATTTGAAATGCCAGTGATAACGTTGCATATTCTTTGGATTTTGACAAGAATTTCTAGATACATAGCAAAAGCACCAGACTAAATGTGGCAACCATATTCAATGCATGGCAGACTTATAAAAGTGCAAGACATATTTGGGTTAGAAAAATTGTTTAGTATGACACAGTGGATCAACTTCCCTAGCAGTAAAATTAATATATATATATATATATATATATATATATATATATATATAATTGTTAAAAGTCATATCAGTAGAAAACATCAGACTGAGAATGCGCAATGATTTAAACTCCTGGAGGTGGGCATCAGCCATGTTGACGGAAGGCAAAAACAGTTCTCTAAGATGATTAAAAATGAACAGTTTAATTTTGGAAGTATTAAAATTAACAAACCATTTCTTGCCTCCAGTTAACAACAGATTAAAGGCAATTTTCAAGATCAGCTGCCAATTTGACTTTATCAAATCCATTAAGATAAGAGTAAATAGCTTTGTAATAAGATAATGTGTCAAAAACTGATGACAGTGGAACAATCACTGACAAAATTAGCAACAAAGTAGGTTTGAGGATAGAGTCTTGGGGAACACAGGGTTCCTACAGATCTGAGTAAAAAAATTCCAGGGTTTTTCCAGAACTATTTTAAGAAATTTCAAGGAGTGAAACTGATGCAAAGTGAATAGTCATCACAATTTCAAAAACCCAAACTTTGGGATTTAACTTTTAACAGTTTGACAGATGGGATGTTCAAAGAAAAGCAACAGTTAGTTCCAATAATTCATGTCACATTGATCAGTTGAAAACCGTGAAAAAATCAAAGTGTTCAAGGCACAACTGAATGCAGATCTGGCTATATCACACATTTTGTGTAGCATTCTAGTTTGGAGTTCTACTACACTTGAAAATTTTCAATTACACACTTTAATTCTTACTGCTACACATTTCAGTTATCTAGATTACTCATGGTTTGCGAATGTCACAAAAATTCTTGACTGCTGCACATTTCCTATGAAGTATAATGGTTTTATTGAACAGAACTACAAATAGAAATTTTCACAAAGAGACTATACATTTTAGTTACCCCCTACTACCCATGACTTTCATTGCACATGGCACAGAAGACAATGATGTTAATATTTTTTCAGTTCATCTAGTTTAGCATTCAGCTCCTTTTCCAATTTTGATATCTCTATGGACTTGTACTTTGCAGATCTTTGAATGGCATTGGACTTTGTAATAAATATAAAGTTCTGAGTCTGCTCAGCTTTCTCAGCATAGATGTCAGCTGACTTGAGCAAATCTTGTCTGCAACATTCAAGCTAGTGTTTTTTGGTCTTCAGATCTTCAATTTCTATAAGCATGGATTTCCATTTTTGTCCAGCTGATTCTGTTTGCCTTTTTTCCTTTTCAGGCTCAAGGGATTGGTTGTATGCTGTTCTGGCATTGGAAGCACGGCAGAGAAGAACCTTAGTCATTGGAATATTCCCAGCACCTCTAACTGTGACCAAATAGTTTATGATAATGCAGTATGCGACCAGAGTCTGCTGTTTTCATATTGTCAGTGGAAATTTCCTTAATGACTGAGAAACCTCTCTCCACTTAGGCTTGCCCATGGGAGAGTACTAGCAATCTGTGAACAACTTTCAAGAGATTTTGATTTTCTTTGTTGCTAGACAGAGAAGAGTAGAACAAGACAGTTTGCTGAAATTCTTGAAAGCAATATTTCCAGCAGCCAACACATTCATCTCTTTGTACTGACTGATGATGTCATCACAATCAGACTTACTGACTTGTTTTCTGTCCATCATGTATGAAAGACATCTTTTTAGACTATCTTATGTTGGCAGATTTTTTTTCACAAATGAATCCAGGGTTCAGTTATGCAAGGGTATCTAAAGGGGAAACTTTGAACATTGTATGCAGAATTGCAACAAAGACAAACAGATCTTTTGTTGACATATTTCCTTTTTTGGATAAATTTTGAATAGCCCTTTCTACCAGAAATCCACACTCAATCTTTGCAGCATTTTTAGGCATGTTTGGGTTTGACAAAATTCTTACAAATTCATTCAGTTTGGAAAATGTAATTATCTTTTTAGTCTGCTCTTTCATTATAAATCTTCTTAACAATTTCATGATCATGCTAAAAAGATCATCTGCAAGGAAAGGAAGCAATGGTTTATTTCTCTGATATTTTATCAGAAACAGTTCAATATTTTTCGAGAAAGTTTCATGACAAATAATACGTCATTCACATTTGACTGTTTTTGTACAGTGCAGTTGGCTTTCCGTTTTGAACCATTTGTGAACAGAGCTAACCAGATATTCTTCTTTTTTTTTTTTTAATAACCAAGTATCACTGTACACAGTCATCTTTCGCCATCTTTAACGAAATAGCAGTTTTGTTCACTTATTTATTCAGAATGAACTCACCCACTGTTGACTAGAGATTAAAATGACATTTTAATTTTAAAATTGACATATCAATAAATTTTCTCCAATTGTTCAAATTTAAAAAAATACTGACAAATTTTTTGAATAAATCTGATTAATAACCTATTCTCCTTTCAGCTACAAATTAAATGAGTATGAATTAATTTATCTTTGATGGAGATGTTTACTTGTCTCTGATGCTTTTTATCTTTGCTTTTCCTCTTTTCTTGTTGAGTGAGGGTAGCAGCTAGAAGGTACACCTTCATATTCTTTCTCATCACCTAGATGAGAAAATACAGAAGTAACTATTTCTAATGAAGGAAACCACTGTTTGCAATAATTGCCAAATATTACTGATGACTAAAAAACATTTTTCTTAAAAGACCATTTTAAAAAAGCCAGGTTTCTTGGATTTGGCATTTTGACTTTCATGAATTGAGAATAGGGCTGTGTGGGCAGCCCAATTTAGAAAATTCCAGGACTTGAAAACTCCTGGAAAATGCTCTGTCAGTTTTCAAAGACTTTTCAAGGTTTCCAGGACCTGTATAAACCTTGTATGTAGAAAGACCTAGGAAAGTAGCCATTCAAGAAAACCTACATTTCATGATTTGATCAGAAAAAACTGTACCAAATCAAAAATTTAACTGCAAACACCATATTCCTTCAACTTGTGAAGAAGACCAGCATGCCAAATGTCTTTAAGATATCTAAAGCAACTGCCTAAGCTTCACCATTCATATCTAAACGTTGACAAACTCTTTCAGCAATAATCATTAATACGTTACCAGTTAATCGTGAGAAGCAAAAGCCATATTGTCTGACAGAAGACATTGTGAGGTGAGATTTAGAACTGATTAGAACCTTTAATAAATTGTTGAAAGGAGGTAGAAAATTAATAGCTTGGTAGTTCAAAGGATCAAACAGTTTGCCAGAGTTCTTAATTAGTGAAGAGGATTTTCAACAAACTTGAAAGCAAGTATGAGGAGGACAATTATTGTAGAGCTTAAATAAAAGTGGAGCTATTTCATGAGCACATTTCTTTAAGACAGCTGCAGGAATATCATTGAGACTACATACTTTGTGGGGACCAAGTTTAAAGAGGACTGCAGAAACCATGCATGGAGTCATATGCATATCATACAGATGAGACTCAGTTTGAAATGGAAAGTCAGGCAAACATACTCCAGGTTATTCAAGAGTAGAATTGAAAGAAAATCTACAAGCAAAGCATTCCTCTAAGATGATAACACTTCAAATTGAGGACTTACCCTTATTTAATACGCTATTACAGTAGTTACAAGGACCAAATGTGTGTTATAAAATGAGGCACCATATAGCCTAAGTGAGTAAAGATAGCCTCATTGAGGACATGTTTGCAATTATCATGAGCAGTTACAAAAGGCTTAACAGCTATCACATTGAACATGCAGGTGTGAACCAAGAATAAGATTGAGTTTATACCTGGTATTTCCAAGATGACACAAAAGCATCATTGTCAGTCTTCACCCAAGAAGAAACCTCAGGGGCGCAATTTTTGATAGGAAGATTAAAAAATTTCAGAATTGTGAAGAAAATCAGAAAATCGATCCCAATCAGTATGCTGGTAACAAAGAAGTCTTGTGAATAGGGGGTTCATGTCAAATAAGTGAATGAAAAGAAATATCAACAGAGCCTTCGGCATGATTCAAATTTCCAAGCGGACAGATTTGTGATGCTTGACAAGAGCCAGGAGAGGAGGTATGGTACAAATTGAGTAGAGAAGCAAGTTGATTATAATTATTAGAGAAATAAGTAGGGAAATCTGACTGAGAGATTGTGGAAGTGAAAAAAAAAGAAAAACTGAAAGTCTGAATACATAGCATTAGGGTGATTAAGGCACTTGAAATAATGAACATTAAAATCACCAAACACGATTTTTGTAGATGAATGTAGAGAAAGAGACATTTCTATATTGTCAGATATTGTATCTAATACGCTACAGTCTTGAGAAGATCAATAAAGGAAAAAGAAATAGCTAACAGTGTAATAACAAAAGTCAAAAGCATATGAAAGAATCATCTGGGGACTGAAGAGACGATTCCTTTACCACTACTTTCAACAAAGAGGGAGATAGTGCTTTGCAAAACTACCAGTGAATTCTCTGTTCCAGACTAAAATATCTGGGGAATATTTAAAAGAAAAAATATTATACACTCCAGAAATTGGTATGAATACCATGAATATTGGAGAAAAAAAGGTTGAGGGGCTTAAGTGAATTTTTGCTTATTGGTTTAATATCTTTCAACAATCTCTTTTGCCAATGCACTCAATTCAGTGATGAATATTAATCACAGGGTGAAAATTTTAGATTAAAATTCGTTTTTTTAATTTTTTTACATTTTGGCTGAAGCATTTTCTAGCACTGAAGTAAATGTATTTTCCAGTGGAAAGTCTTACAAATATTTAGTGTTTTAAAGTTAAATTTATCAAAACTTTTAATGTTATTCACCTTGAAATTTACAAGCATTCCATCCAAATTCATAATGAAATTTTGAACCCATGGATCATTGGCTTCATAATTTGAAAATTCCTCCTGTAAAAAACAAAGTCATTAGTCATTAGCTCACATCTGAAAAAGTGTGATGAAATTGTAAACTCAGCAACAAGAATCGAGATTTGTTAGAATTCCAATAGAATTAAATAATTATTTTGTCCAGATTATTATGAATATACATTATAGGAAAAAATCAGAACCAAGAGCTTTTCAAAGATGTACTATTGCAAATCTGATATTCATTCTTTATGAGTACAATTTTATCTTATGAGAGTGGAAGAAAAACTTGATTTAAAATAGGTATTTTCTCTTGGGATGAGTGTGGTAACAAACAACCTGGGAAAGATCATGAGATATACTAGGCACCAGTTAACTGCTTAATCGATCTGAGAAAAATCCAAATTGTGATTAGTGTGCATCCTTGTGATTACTTTGTACATTCAAACTGGATTGCCAGATCAGATGTATAATGGATTTTGCAAGAAAAATCAAAGACAAATGAAACAACATTCACATTCTCACAGCAAGATGTGCTGTTAATGCACCATAAGATTTAAAAAATTCAGTAGTTATTTTTTTCAAACTTTACCAATGAATTTACAGCTCAACAAATTTGCTGAAGCAATTTTCATCTTTGTCAAATTTTTCATCTTATTTTTGTCACTTTATATAACAAAACTTGTGTGATTTAAAACATTCTATGACTGTTAATCTGGATGGAAATAAAGAATAAACTTCTGATGAGATTTGAATTTACATCCTCTATCTTTGGGAGTCTGATCAGGACAAAACCCAATGAACAGATGTCATTCAAATTTAATTATACACCTGCATTCTTCTTTATACAACTGACCATGCTATATTGTTTCTTATATAGAGAAATAGATATATCATTAAGCTGTCCAAATTTCTTAGATGAATCATTATCATTACATTTATCTTTTTTTTTGTTTATTTCAACATTCAGGCCATCTGACATTCTGCAAATGGAAGCTACACTGCTCATCTTTTACTTAGAATTTATTAGAATTATTAAGTAAATAACTTAATAATTGTACAATGTAAAACAACCAAGCGGGCATTGAGATAAAATGCAAAAAATATGAAAGGTAAACTCGTAGAAAAATAATTATTTTTTATTTCTTTTATTGAATATCAATTTCTTGGGTTGAAAAATTAAAAAAAATATTTATACAGTTTCAGAAACAAACGTATGTAATACTTGCCTCAGTTATATTGTGATTTGTAGATAAAAGTGCATCAACCAAGGGCTTAATGCGAGGTTTGATTGCACTAGAACTGAGCTGAGAAAATCCAAAATCAACAACATCTTTGAATCTTGCTGATACAGCTCCAAGATCAGCTAAACAAGACTAAAACAAGAAAGTATATAGGGAAAAGGTGAAAAATATATTAAAAATTGCTATAAAGTTTTATGTCTATATGCTGCAAAAATGCATAAAAATATTGAATTTTTGAAGAGTTATTAGTTTAATATTCTGCCATACTAATCATAAAAGAAGAAATACATTTAAAAATATAAAAAAGAAACACATAGATGAATGCAGATATAATCTATTTAACACTTTCACTGCTGTGGATATATTTATATGTCTTTACAAATCTTACAGTGCCTGCTGTCAACATTATATATACACGTGTATATTTTTAATCTAAATGTTATTTTTAGTGGATACATGTATATGAATTGCTATCCCTATTTTTTAATTTTTGAACAGTGAAATTGATAGCAACCCGCCAAAATTGAGAAGTCCTATTAAAATCTAGGCTGGTTGTTTCACTGCTTCAGAAAATGAAAAAAAAAGGGATAGCAACTCAAACACTTATACCCACTAAAAATAATGTTTATAGTAATAAGAAATAATGCTGGATATATATATATATATATATATATATATATATATATATATGTATGTGTGTGTGTGTGTGTTGTCCTTTTACAGATATACTCTATCTGAAATTTTACATATATATGTGTACACATTTTCAAGACTGTGAAATATCAGCCCACTAGCATTTGAGTTATAGCCTAACTAGTGTTTAGTGCTGTTTCCAAACCAGCATAGACATATAGTAGCTAGTAATACAGCCTACTTTGTGATGCATTTTTATTACATTGTGCATTGGGGGGGTGTCATTTAGCTTAGTTTGTACTGCACAGTATCCAATCAAAACCAAAATGGTCACACTCATGAGAAATTGTCATCAGTGTATTTATAGTTAGTTATTTCCAATAAATGGTACTTTCCTATTTTCCACAAAAAATGGGCCAGGACAGCCAGGCAACAATGATATAAAATTCAGTAGTGAAAGCATTAATAAATTATTCAGTTTATGCTAGTTTTTTTTAAATTTCAAAACAATGTAATATTGTAATCCCAAAGAAAAAAATGTTTCAACTGCAGACATTTTTGTATTCATCACTGAACTTTAAGATACTTTAGAAATTATCCTCAAAATATTCTAATTTCAAATTATAAAAAAAAGAAAAGCTTTTAGTTCACCATTATTTATAAATCTAAAAAGTTATTTAAAATATCATTCCCAAATTAAACATTTGCTATCATGTTATGTTGTAATCTAATATATGAAATTTAAAATCAGTGATGAATTATATGAAATAATTATTCAAATGCAATGAAAAGAGAATATATTTAATAACGCTCACTCACCTCAAGTTTAGCTTTGTTCTGATCATTACATTGGCTGAACAATTGGGAAACTTCCTCCTGAGAGAGAGAGAGAGAGAGAGAGAAATATTGAAAATATATTTTCAAAATAATATCCTAAATATATAAAACTCTTTAAAATTAATTCAAATTTAATCAAATTATTGTATTCACTCTTTGTTCTCTGGATTTTCTACATGATATTTTGAAGTTTATAAGACATACTTGGAATTTAGCATGAAACAAAAAGATAAATAAAAACTAAAAATATGTTGGAATAAATAAAACTGAGGGAAATTTTCTTGAGCTTGCCCCAGACCCAACTAGTGGAGGGAGATTTCTAGATCCCAAGATAGTTTTGGAAGGGGGAGGGAGAAAGAAGCATTTTATATATATTGTTAAATAAAGGGTGCTGCAGAAATACCTCCCACATATAATGATAAGAAATTAACTAGATGAAAACACCATTGCCACTAATGTCTTACAATTATTAGAGAGGTATTTCTACCCCACTCTACCCTGTATAATAATCACCTTTGAACTTCACAATACCAACAAAATATTATTTCCCAATCTTCAATTTATATTAACCTTAAAAAAGTAAATCCATACCTCTAAACTATTTTGAAGAGACTTGATATAATCACAGCTCGCTTCTGCATTATTCAATGTCACCTACAACAAAAAAATTCCAATGTGACAAATGACAGCAAAGTAAAGACAAAATTATTACAAATAATAAAATCAACTAATTAAAGTTTATATAAAAACAGCAAAGAAAAACAGAAGCAGCAAAATAAAAGTAACTAACTCAGACTAATAGCTATCAACAAGAGTTGAACTTGAATCCTTTATCAAATATCAGATGTTACATCATTATTTCTGCTCATTAATTTGTTTTATGGCATATCAACTCTTCATGGGTTGTTTAATGACATGCCTAACATTTAAAATTTTGATTTTATATTGGTTAAAAATGTTAAAATTAAGATTTTGTGTTATTTTTTGATTTAAAGTTAAAAATTTAACTGTTTTATATAGATGAAAATTTCCAATGTTTTCTTTCAAATGTTTGATAAATATGTTGTTATGATGTTGATTTGGGGTTAGTAGAGACAAACGCCAAATAACACGTAACAATAAAAAGGGTTTTAATAGGTTGGTAAAAAGGTACGGAATCGCCTGAGTAGTCAATAACTAGCTCAGCTAAGAACTTCTCCGTCTATCTGTCTTTCGACATGCCACTATTTAAAGTCTTTGTTCACAGACAAGTTCATCTTCAAGAGGGGTGGTAGGTTTCCGACACAACATATGTAAAGTTTCAATTTTTCTATGCATATGCAAATTATGTTTATAGAGATTTCAAAACTATATATATTTTTAAAAGTTCAACCTCTTTTAAAAATTGTAAAATGTTACTTGGTTTGATATTTTCAAAAAGTGCTTAATTTGGTTGAAATCAACACATTCTATCAGTATATGCTTTACCTACTGTCTTTCTAGACATGTCATACACATTGTGACTTCTTTATTTCTGAATCATGTTGCTGACTTAATGGTTGGAGAATGAGTGCCAAAATAACAAGCAACAAAAATAAGATGAAAGATAAACTAGTTAGAAGTTAATAATGAAAATGCTTTGTCTAAGAAATTTGAACAAAAGTGATGTACATATATAAAATGCAATACACTCATATATTTTATTCGTGTTTAATAATTTAACAGCACAGATAATACACTCTGATCTTACGCAGAATTTCCAAGCCATACATAAATAATCCTATTATTTTTTTTTTACAAATACCATGATAAATTTCTAATCAACTTGTGAGAAAAAAGATTTATCTCAGGTGTATAAGAAAATATTTGTTAGATACAACAAAAAAGCTATATTTATGTAAGAGCTAGTGAAGATTAAATTCCCTTCTAATGGTTTGAAAATAATATGCTAACTATTGCTCTATGTCAGAGTGCTCATTATTTTAATATATATATATATATATATATATATATATATATATATATATATATATATATAGTAATGATATAATATGGTAATCTGTATGGAATTTCCAAAAGGATATAGATCCAGGGAGAGCTCTATGTCAAAAGACAGAGCAAAATGTGTTAACAATGTAGAGAAAATCATGTCAGCACACAATAATAAGCTACTAAATAAATTTCATAACAGTGAAGCAATGGATATTAACCCCACATGCAATGGTAGAAGGACAACTGAGTGTCCAGTTGGAGGTAAATGCAGATCTAAAAACGTGGTATATGAAGCAACGATTTTCCCTGAAGAAAATGTAGACCTGAAAAAGACCTACATTGGAATATCTGCAAGAGATTGGAAAGAACACTTATATAATCACAGACACTCCTTCAGCAATAGGTCTCTCAAAAACCAAACTGCTTTATCCAGACATTACTGGGATCTTATTGACAAAGGTCTCACACCACAATTGGAGTGGAAATTCATATCCAGTTTCAAACTCCTAAGAACTTCAGGAACCGTTGTAACCTTTGTCTGCTGGAGAAAATACTTATAATTAAATAAAAAACCAGGAGAATTTACTTAATCATCGAAGTGAACTCATATCAAAATGCAGACACAAACACCACCCTCAAAAATAGAAAAGTACTATTTTTCCTGGATAATATAAATTCCTGTCTGTATCTTCATTGCTCTAATGAAGTTTATGTTCACATAGAAATATTTATTGCAATCTCACATTTGTGATTGTGATGTGTGTGTATATATATATATATATATATATATATATATATATATATATATATATATATATATATATATATGCAGGTGTTTGTGTTTATGTATGGGCATATTTTGGGTTTCTTGATACATATAGGTGTGTTTGTGAGGATATTGTGTTTAGAGAGAAATACATGGATGTATATGTGTACATACACACATACATAATGCAATTGGATATGTCTGTCCAAGGCAGGTCTGCTCAGTCACCAGAAATCACGCCAGTCTATTGCATATGATGATTTTGTAATGATATGCTTTGAATGCCCAACCTGCACTAGAGAGTGCAAGTCCAGACAAGGCATATAAAAAGACACATTGGAAGTGATAATGTTCAAAGTCAACTTCTACCTCCTGGAGATGATTTGACATGCCATGTATATAACAAGAAATGCAGATCAATGGCTGGCTTTATGAACCACTATCGTTTACACAACAAATGAACACAGTGTTGTGTTTAACTGATGGACTGAACATGTCAGTGATGGTCATACTCACTTTGTGAGTCGACAGCCACTATACTATATGTGTATATGAACGGATGAAAAATGATAGGGTTATTGATCTGTAATTTGTGCTTAAACTAGATATATACATGTTTGGTTGGTTTGTTTTGTTTTACGGCATATCAACCTCAATGGGTTATTTAATGCTGACAAAATTTTTATTGCTGGTAATATTTTGTTTTGTCAAAAATCCATTTCTGATAATATTTTTTTTTTTTAAAAAGTATTGCTGGTAATAATTTTTTCCACAAAAATGTATAGCTGGTAATAATTTTTTTTTTTTTAAATGGACTGCTGGTAATAGTTTTTTCTTCAAAAATTTATTTTTTACAAAGTATTTCTGGTATCAAAACTTATTTATAATAATTGACCCTTGATCCTCTTATACATTTGATACATTCTTTTAAGATTTTCTTGGAATGTTGGCCATTCATTTGTATTCAGATTTATTAATTTTTCTATAAGTTTTTTTATACTTATCTATTGGAATGATATCCTGGGGGTTTTGATTTGCCTTTTGTACTATATTAGCATAGGTTTTTGTTCCCATATAGCTTTCAACAATTTTTTTTGCTTCTAGATAAGGTATATTTTTCATATGCTTTACAGACATTATTTCCTTTTCTCTCTTGTAGATATCACAGGTCCTTGAAAAGGCAGGGTGTTCTTCATGGCAGTTAGCGCATTTCACATTACTGCATTCATTCTCTGTGTGATTTGGGTCACATTCACCACACTTCCCACACACTTGGCATCCTCTGCAAATATCTTTGTGGTGTCCAAATTTTTGACATTTGAAGCACCGCAGGGCAGCTGGTATAAATTGCTCTACCCTTTCTATAGTATAGCCAATCCTGATTTCTTTTGGTATTACGGGTTTTTCAAACGTTAGTATATATGTATGGGTCTCTATAATATCATTGTTTCTTCGAATAGATATTCTCTTATCCTGTTTTTTTAATGCTCTTTCAATTTCTTGTGTTGTTAACGAAAGTTCACGGCTTCTTATAACACCTTATGAAGTGTTTAATTTTTCACGTGGATAAGCTCTACATTTGATGTTGTGAAATTTATCCATTTTGAGTAAATTTTCTCCATGTTTTTTTTTTCAACCTCCACTAGCAAGTTACCATTTCAAAGTTTTTAATTTAAATTTCTTGGTTAATTATGTAAAAAGCTTATGAAGATTTTTTCACTAATTTCGAAATCTTTAAAAATGTTCTCTTTTAATATTATTTACAAATAATTTGTTGAATGAAATATATCAGTATTGAAATTTGGCTGTTGACAGAAACAGATTGGGTTGTTTCAGAGTCACACACAACTAACTACACTTTAAGCCCTTCTATCATCCTCAAATGACATACTGAGGTCAGTATGTCAAAATAGGTAGATACTCTCTGCCTTTTCTCACTTTCTAAATTCTAAATAAGATAGCAATATCTCTTGATTTTAACCCAGAATAATTTTTTTTCCATTTCATTTGTGATTTATTTGTAGGTCTTGAAGATTGAGAGCTGCTTTTTTTTTTAGAGCTTTCATGAAATAAAAATTATTACCTATGGGATTTTAAATGTTTGATATTCTTTAATTAATTATATATATATATATATATATATATATATATATATGTATATACATATAAATTTGTACATATACCTATTTTATTGTCAACTGAAAAAATATATTTATTTAATTTCATGGTAATGGAAGGAATAGATAAAACCAAAAAGTTTAACTTCATCTACTATAATCAGTAAATCTCTTCACAACACATTTGTTTATCTTTCATTTTTCTAGAAGAATCTATGAATATTTTTTTATCATCTTTATAGATGATGCCAAGTTAACTCGTCCATACTGCAAAGTTGATCAAATATAAACATTTTCAAGATCCATATGTGGAAGAGTTTATCCAGAAAATTATGACAGTGATCTACTAAAAATTAATAAATACATTGCGGGAGAGAAAAAAAAGAAAGGGAAAAGGTGTTTGTAGTAATCACATAGCATTAGTTGTGTGTTTGGGCCTCTTTATACATTCACCAACCATCAATAGTAACTTTTTGGAGTTCCTTCATCTCCAAGATTCTATGACATAATACAACTTATATTTTGTATAAAGAAGTGATAAATGGTGCTTATTTTGTGATACCAACATGTCTTAGAAAATTCTTTAATATTCTTCAAAATATATTTTGATTTAATGTAATCAAAATCTCTTATAATAAAATACCAGTAAACATTTAAAATCTTTTTCAACAATGGGTTAATCATAGAAGAAAAGAACAGTGATACAATTGAACAAAGTAAAGTTTTCTTTCCCAACAGGAATTAAACATAGCCACTATTATTGTCATTATTTTAAAATAATACTTACCAGGAATGCTGTTTTTGCTTTCTCTGTATCAGAACTTAATTTTCCTTGCTGGAAACTTGACTGCATAATGTTATAAGCCTGGGTCAAGTCAAACCCTGATGGAAAACCAGGTCGCAGCTTAGCATAAAGTGTTTCTCGGAAATTTTGTTCTAATATTGTGCAACAGTGGTTCAACATGGCGCACACACCATCCACACTGGAACTGGAAATTGCTCTTCTGTAGAGCATAAAGAAAAAGAACTACCAATTCAAAATATTGGATCAAGGTAAAATATAAAACAGGATATGTTTTAGTTATTGAACTTATTCTTTTTGTTGCTTTTATTGTAACCATGTTTTGGTCTATTATACTTCAGCTTTCATTCAATGTATAATCTTTAAAATTTGCCACCTATGTCTGTAAAATAGAGATTTACTTCCTTATGAACTGAAAAAGCCTGTAGAATGGTAATGGTAATATTGACGATTTCCTTGTAAGGAAACATTTAGCATTCATTGACTGATCAACCAGTGCTATTCGAGTTACACTTTTCTTCACTCATTGGTGATCAGGCTGGGACCAAAGTGTAGTATCTGTTCTCATCTCTAATGTTAATATTAGCTGTTTCTGTATAAGGAAACATTTGATGAGTATTGATGGGGGTTTCCTTCCTAGTATTTTGTTTGAAAGTCAAGTGAAGTGATTTCAATTATTTGGTATAGATTTTGTTTGTGATTCTGTAGCACCAGTCACCAAGGTTCAAAGAAGGATGGTCTTTACTAAAAACCCCATATTTCATGTTCTCAATGACATTTTTAAACATTGAACAGATAAGCCAAAATGGGATAGCAATAAAAGTAATACAAAGAATGGCTTCAATAATCAGAACAACTCTTGTAATGATTCCTCTCATAATTAGGAAGGTACATTATTAGAATATCAGTTCCACCAGTTCAGACCTTTACAGCTAAAACTTACTATGCCATGCATAGAGAGTCAACTAACATCCTAACTCCCTTCATATTCAATCGATAAGGAAAGTTCAGTTAGCTTTTTCCCAAGAACTGTTGCTTTGTGGAACAAACTCCAAAGAAGATGCTTCCTTGATTGCAACACTGATAGCCTCTTCAAATCTAGGGTCAAACATTATCTTTCCTACACATCCTCCTAAACTGTATTTCTCACTTAATAACCTGGGTTGAACAATAGTAAAGAAAAAAAATAGAAGAAAATCATGATATGTTAGGAAATTACAAATAAATCATGTTTGAGATTGGCATATCTACTTTCATTGTAGCATATTCCAAGGACAATGTCAATTTAGAGGTTTCATTGAAAACATAAGATTCTTGTACAATAATACTATATGGATCATGCAATCTAAGCATTGGTCAATGTTCTTAACTAAGATGAAGAAAATTAATAATGAATAAAAGTTTGTGCAAAAATCAACAGCTATTGACCTATAGACAAGGAAATATATATTCTTGCTTGAATCACTCTGATCTTTTTATTTTCTTTGATTAAATATGAAGAGGTGCTGAAAGTTCTTGGACCAACCAAGTAGCACTTAAAAAAATAAATTATTTGGTCCAATTTTGGAGATTGGTTCAGGCAGAAAACTTATCAGCACCCTCTTACATGATTATATAATTATCATAATGACCAATAATTTCAGTGTTAAAAAACAGCTCCATTAGGTGATCAAAGAAAATTTAATTTTATACAATGATAGAAATTTCTCATTGAAATGGTACACTCTTATTCAAACATAGTGTCTATTACACAAAAACAAATGCATTCTCCAAATTAAAAATTTGCATTTGTTTGTAATTTACAGAATAAGTGATTACCTCACAGATTTTTTGACAATAAAAAAAGAATCATCAACCATACTGGAATAAAGAGAATTCTCTTCAATTGTATCCATAGTGACTGCCTGAAATGAATCAAAACAATAATCATGTAAATATATAGAAGCTTAATGAATAAAACCATTAAAAGTATTACTATTATTCATGTCATAGCTTAAAAGAAATGCCAAGTTCATTTGTAAGAGGCCAGAAGACAATAGAAAAAGCTATTAACAAGCAGCAAATGTTTTTGTGGTTATAGCAACAGAAAGAGGAACAATGCATAATATGTACAAAGTAAAGAAAAACGGCTGATTAAAATAGCTTTTAAAATAGATTAAAAATTGGATTTAAATAAATCCCACTTTAATTATCTGGTATCAAAAACCTAGCAGTCTTAATACAAAATAAGTGATATTTGTGATAATTTTATCTATTACATAAATTCTCCTCTTATACAAAACAGGCTATTAAAGAGTCTAAATTTTGTTTATGGCAACTTTATATTTTTTCAGACTGATAGGCTAATATCATATATATATATATATATATATATATATATATATATATATATTGTCTGAAGATACCCGAAAAGTTGAAACCAAGGTAGCAGAATCAGCTGATATCCTTTATATATATATATATATATATATATATATATATATATATATATATATAAAAGGTAACCCTAAATTAAAACATCAGACAGCTCTTTCAAAAAAGATTTTGGGAATTGAAGAAAAGAACCCACAGATAGATTGGAAGATTATATGTTCTGCACATACTCCTAATAGTCTTAGAGATAAGTGTAACTTCTGTTTACAATATAAAAAATAGAATAATAAAATACAATAATCAAATCCAAATACTGAATCAAAGGAATAAATTAGTTTTAAAGTGTCAACATAAAAATAAATTCAAATTTCCATAATAAAGATTTTACTTTATTATGTTTCTCTAACTCTCCAAATATCGAATGTATAACTAATCCTAATTTCTATATTTTTACATTATATTAATTATATCTTATAATTGTCCCCTGTTCTAAGAAATTTCTTTCCTTTTATCACTTACACCTCTTTATCTATATATTTTAAGTTTTTTTAAATATAACTTTGTATTTTTATGTATTTTTAAAATATAACTTGTTTTTGATTTAACTTATCTTTAAAGTTAAATTTTTTTTTCTAATGTATAATTTATTTCATCCTATTGTATTTTTATTTCTAAATATTTTTTATTCATTAATATAACCATTTTTTTTTAATTAATTATAAATTGTTTTAAAAATATAATCTTACTTAATTTTAATATAAATTATCTAAATATATCTTATTTTTAAGTATAATTTATCTCTGGAAGAATATTTTTAAGTAGAAACTTGTACTTTTAAACGTAACCTTATCTATATAATTAAAAAAAACCTTTTTGTTCCTCCCTTAGTTTCAAATTAACACTTCATTCTTCATATAACTCCTATTTAATATCATAAGATTAATATCTGGGTTTAATTTTATAATATCTCTTCCCTTTAAAGCTAATACCGTCCACCCTTCTCTGACCACTGTCTTTCGCCTTTCGTCTGACTAAAACATTGAAATGGATAAATTCTGTAAGAATTTTTCTGCAACTCTTGGCGAGTACCAATTGGATTTTGTTTAATTTGACATATTAATTTCCTCGAAGATCTTGAAGAAATCTTCCACGGAGCACCTGTTCTTCAGTTTTTAACAGTTTTGAGTTTTTTTTGTACCTTGCAATGAATAAACTAATGGTAGTAAATGGAATATTCAGATTGTCTGAGATTTTCCTGTAACTTTGACCTTCTTTCCAGAGCTTAAAACCAGTCTTTTTTGTGAATTTAATGGAACATTCCAGAATATTCCACTTGAATAATCTAGGGCATTAAAGCAATTTAAAAGTTTTAAAATCTGAAATTTGCATGGTATGAATTGTCTTTTCACCCATTAAAATGGATAAATGGGATTTCTATTAAATCATTTTTTTTCTGTTTTCTATGCATATTTAGTTATTATGCATCTTTGTACAGTTAATTATATGAAAAGTATGTTTATTCATTAGTTGGAAATACAATAAATTAAAAATTTGCATGTGTACGAATATTTGTTCCCCCCCTAGTGTGTGTTTGTGTGTATATGTGTATGTGTATGTATATATATATATATATATCTATTTATGTGAGAGAAAGAGAGATATATATATATATATATATATATATATATATAAAAGAAAGAGGTTGTAGTGGTTCCAACGTGAGAAAAGTATGTATATTAAAAAGAAGAGAAGAGAGGTGCCGCAAACATTTTTGGTTGTAATGTGGATTTATTTAGAAAAAATATTATGCTTTGTTTTACATAATTTTACTACACGTGTTTCTGGTCTAGTGACTATCTTCAGGTAAAAGCAGAGATTTCCACATATTATTAAAAATAATTAATTTTTTCTTTTGTTTTTCAATGTTAAATATTCTTGATATGAGACATTTTCTGTGTTAGTAATCCAAATTTCTTTCTTGAATTGGCAATGAAGAGTTCTGCGCGAAGGGTCATAAAACAATTAAGGTTAGTCCAAGAGAAATGATGAATTACCTATCGGCATTTTATCTTTTAATGTTTTACTGACCCCTATGTGTTCTTGGATCTGTTTCCATTTTTGTGTGTTTCTGTCAGCATGCGTGTATTTATGCGTATATTATATTCCCCTCCATACATATACTGTCTTACTACGAGGAATTAGTAAACTCATTTGTACATATACACATACACACACATACGCACATACACACCATCCCACCAAAGGAATCAGTACATACACACAAATACACACATACTTCCCAAGCTACATGGAACCAGTATACACATACACATACATACACACACATATGTACCTACACACACACATACTTCCTAAATTGTGTGAGGTTTGGGTGCGTGCTCGTGAGTAGTTCCCTGTTTTGTCAACATGCATATATATATATATATATATATATATATATATATATATATATATATATATATATATATATATATAAATATCTCCATATATATATATATACATTCATATCCCTGCATATGAGCGTGCGTTCATGTATGTGAGTGATTTGATCATTGTATTTGGTCACCTTGTGTGCATGTTGTGTGTTTTTGTGTGGGGGTTATGATTTATTTAGTTCGGGTTTAAATTTGTTTATAAAGTTTTTTTCCTGTATTTGTAGATGTGAGTAATTGTCTGTTTGATATATCGACATGATATTAAACTTGCCCTGGTTACATTTGAAAATGTGTTGTGATACAAAAAGTTTTCTGTTGTCTGTCAATTTTATATTGCTTTTGTGTAGGGAGACCCTGTTGTTCAGTTGTTGGCTGATGCCTATATATGACTTCTTACATTTTGTGCATTTAAGTACATAAATTACATTTTTGGAGTTGCAGTTTAAGTTTTTATTTATTGTGAATGTTTTTTTTTTTTTTCAAAAGTGTAGGAGTTTCCTTCTATAATGATGTCACAAACCCCACATCTTTTTTTTTGCATTTTGTGACTCCCTGTATTGTGTGTTGGTTAAATTTAGATGAGATTAATATGTGTTTTAGGTTTCTAGATTGGCGTTTGCTCTTAATTATTTTGGTTGTTTTTAGTATATTATTCAGTTTATTATTCTTGCTAAGTAAGTCTAGATTTTTTGTAATTTCTGTGAATATTTCTGGATTGTTTTTGTTATATATATATTGAAACAGACTGACAAGCTGTGGTGGTTAAGTTTTTTTAAATAATTTCTCATGTGTTTATAATATTTCTTTTCAGGACATAAATTATATAAAAATTGTCCAAATGTTTTCCAAGTGCTTTCAGCTATACTTTTAGCCATTATTAAGGATGAAGTTTTTTTTTTGTTTTTAACTGAATATATGCATTGTTTTATGTATGTATCTAGAGTTATAGGAATGTTTTATGTTCTAAACACAATCAGCACATTGTAACCATGTTCATAGTTGATATAATTGAATGTTGGATTTTTCTTTTTTATTAATAATTCTTCCATTATTTTTAGCCTTGGATGATGCTATTATATTTGTATTATCAATTAGTATGTTATGGATAGTGTTTGGTAGGTCTCCATGTGTATTTAAATGAAACCTTATTGAGCTTTGGTCAGAGAGATGTAACATGAGTTTTCTTGTTAAACATGTTGCAGTATATCCAATATAATTATTTATGAATTTGGATTAGTCAGGAATACAGCCATGTCAAACTCAGGGCATATGGAGGGCTGCATCGGCCATATCTGTAGCCTCGAGGGCCGTACCCGCTTACAGTCTTACATTATTCAGAGCTAGCGGTAACTAAACTTTAAATACAAAATACTTACAGTACAAGGTAATACAATTTAATCATTTATATGTTATCCTGATGATTGACATCACTTTAGACAAACTATTCTTGATAAATCAGGTTGGAATGTATGTGTAGATCCCACTTTGATCAAAGATGACAAATGTTCATCAATTAATCTGGTTCTGTGAGACATTTTTATGGCCTTTATAAATGAAAACAACAGACATATGTTCACAGACATATGTGGAACCAGACATCACCATAATCTTTGTGGCAAACTTTCTGAAGTTCTTAAATGTCTGAGGAAGGTATGAAAAAAAATCAAGGCCATACTCATAGGGAAGCTGTTCAACTTTATCAAAAATGTCCTGGCTTGTTGTTGTTTCATGCATTGCGATCAGTTCTATTAGTTCTTCATAAATTTGAAATTCATTGTCACAAGTCCTGATGAAAACGGCAAGCTGTGCTATTCAAGCTATATCAACAGTCTCATCCAGAGCAAAAGAAAAATGTTCAAAACTTGATGATAAAGTCTTCAACTGCCGACTCAAATCACCTGCCATTTCATCAATTTGTTCAACAACATTGTTCCTGCTTAATGAAATGTCTTGAAATAAGTGGGACTTCTCCGGACATACAATTTCAGATGTTTTTACAAGACATTGCTTTATGAAATCTCCTTCACTGTAAGTTTTTCCACTGATGGTGATCATTTTGTAGAGTTCAAAGCTTGCAGTAACAGAACATTGTCTTTTTGAATTTTTGTAAAGCAACTCTGTTGCTGTGTTAACTTAACCTTGAAGTCCTCCACTTTTGAAACATGCATATCTCCTTCATATTTATCATAAGATTGATGGTTTGTTTCATGTCTTTTCACATTATATTCTTTTGGCGTTGCAATGCAGTGGTTGCAAATCAAACAGTTTATCTTTCCAAAATAGTGGTACCAAAATACTGTAATTCTCACTTTTCTTGAAACGCACGTCCTTCTTCAGATAATTTTCTCTTTTTACAAGATGGAGTAGAATCTGACATTTTTAAAGTAAAATATTGCAAAATTCTGAATGTTTTCACTTTACATATTTTCTTATTTAGTTGTCAAGGATGATTAACTGGAAGTTAAAAATAGTTGCTGACATTTGGAAACAAAAAACCATTGAGATAGAATAAACAATCTAATCATACTAATTGGAAAAAAAATCTCACTGTTTTTAATAATTTGCATTACCAACATAGACAAAATTCTCGATATACCACAGCTATGGAAACCCTTGTGTGGTCTGCCAAGATGCATGTAAAGGGCCGCCAGTTTGATACATCTGCCTTAAGGGACATGTAAATTTCTAAATAATATTCTTCATCTGTAATGTAGATCTAGTAGGTGAATTTTTATTTTTGAGAATGAGGTTAGTAGTTTTAAGTATTTTTGTAATAACTAATTTAATTTTGTTTTTATCAACTGGAGTTGTGGATTTTTTTATGTTACTAAGTGAAGATTTGTCTTGCTTATAGTTGGTATGCATTTGATTTTTGTAGAAAATGTTAATGTTATAAAAAAAAAAAAGAACAAAGACAATAACATTCCTATAACTAGATAGATACATAAAACAATGCATATATTCAATTAAAAAGAAAATCAAATTCATGCTTGATAATGGCTAAAAGTTTAGCTGAAAGCACATGGAAAATATTTGGACAATTTTTATAAAATTTATGTCCTGAAAAGAAAAAAATTATACAAACATATGAGAAATTATATAAAAAAACTCAACCACCACACCTTGTCAATCATTTTCAACAAAACTTACATAAAAGAGGAATTGTTGCTGCCCAAATATATATGTCCTGATGATTGTGTTTAGTATGAAACAGTCTGTTGTCTCTGGGTTTTGACTTCAAATGCCTATTTTTATATTTACATACACTCTATCCCTGATACTGACCACTTTAAAACAAATATAGCATACCTTAAAAATAAATTTTATCATTCATATATATATATATATATATATATATATATATATATATATATATATAGAGAGAGAGAGAGAGAGAGAGAGAGAAATAAAAGGAAACCTAAATCAATTAGTGCTAAATTTTTCTGTTAGCTCTCAAGATTAGTGATTATGTAATATTAAATTATTTATTTCACAATGATATAAAGTAGAAACTATAAAAAATGACAATGTTAAGTACAATAATACAACACAAGTGAAAATCAAATTGTACACTTACTTTCAAAACCATTTCTCGCATAAAGAATTCTTCCATTAAAATATAGTGTCCAATCATTTCTTGCATCAATTGATTCAGATCACAGTTATTAAATATTCTATCAATATTGGCACATTTTTCTGAAGAATAATTGAAAACTTGAGGTAAAAGTAAAATAATTCTTGTTCATGATATCTAAACAAAACTCAATTTTTTTTAAAAAATGTTTGAAATTTGCATACACTTGACCTTTACTGATATTAGCAGAAAAGACTTTTTTGTTACTAATACAGATCTTCCTTGCTTCACAATTTCCCAAATTATAATTTTACTGTTATCAAACCTATGAACATTCAGTACTTAAACTTTTAAATTTTTATCTTCTTTGTGGACTTAGTATAGCAATTTTGTATGAAATTTCTACCAATGCTGGTAGAAGATAGCAATTACAAGTATTAACATCGCTCAGTGTTTAGTGTTGAATTATACAGATTTTTTCTTTTTCTTTTTGGTGAGGAGGGGGTTAAAATCATAATGTAAAAGTTCATTACTATGTCTGCTAAATGCCCAAGTGGGTCTCCTGCTTATGGTGAAAGAAGGAAAGCTATTACTTTGAAGGAGAAACTCAGGAGGATAACATTGGCCTATACCTATTTTGGTGCAAGCCAACATACTTTTTCTTAATTTATTTGGAGACACTGAGTTCAAAAATCAAGTCAGTTTTTTTTTTTTTGGCCTGGACTGGGACATTAAAAAAACAACCCCCGCCCCAAACACACCAAAAGTAAACAAAACTATTTATCACCAAATTTCCCACAAAATTCAAATTCTCAACGCTTCCTGACTGCTCAAATACCTGGCTTTATATTAGGTTGGTGCAAAAATAATGTCGTTTTCTCACATATGTTACTTTTATATATGATTTCTGAATTCATTGATATATATAGCCATGTTATATATCATTTTGAAGCGCGTTTTTCACTCTATCGAGTCGTGTTATTCGTTACCGTTCTCAATCTCTTCATTCATTTTTTTGCAGGCTTTTCGACAGCATGGACAAAATTCAAATCCGCACAATTTTCTTGTTCCAGTTCAAACTAGGCTGAAAAGCTGCCGAGACAGCTCGTGATATCAATGATGTGTTTGGCCCAGGAACCACTAACGAATGTGTGGCACAATGGTGGTTCAAGAAATTTCACAATGTTGACGAGAGCCTCAAAGATGAAGACAGTCGCAGCCGGCCGACTGAAAAAAAAAGTTGATAACTAACATTTGAAAGCCTTAATTGAAGCCGATCCTCGCAAAACCACAACGAGGAAGTTGCTGTTGAACTCGAGGTTGACCACTCAACAGTCGTTCGCCATTTAAAGCAAATAGGGATATCAAAAAAAGTTGGATAAATGGGTGCGATGAATTGAATTCTTCTACGCTTCTTCTGTGCAAAAAAAAAGACCCATTTCTCGATTTGGATTGTGACGTGTGATGAGAAGTGGATCCTTTAAGACAACCGGCGACGTCCGGCACAGTGGTTGGATGTTGGAGAAGCTCCACAACACTTCCCGGCCGAAAAATGCACCAAAAAAAGGTTATGGTGACTGTTTGGTGGTCTGCGGCCGGTCTCATCCATCACAGCTTCTTGAATCCAGGCGAAACGATTACGGCGGAGAAGTACTGCTGACAAATTGATGTATGTGCCCGAGATTGGTCATTATGAAGGGACCAATTCTCCTCCATGATAACGCTTGCCCGCATGTTGCTCAACTGAGCCTGCAGAAGCTGAACGAATTGGGCTCCGAGACTCTGCCTCATCCGCCATATTCACCGGACTTCTCGCCCACCGATTATCACTTTTTCAAGCATCTCGACAACTTCCTGTGCGAAAAATGCTTCAAAAGCCAAGATGATGCCAAATCGGCCTTCAATGACTTCATCGCTTCCAGAACTTCGGATTTCTATGCTAATGGGATAAATAAACTCGTTTCTCGTTGGTAAAAATGTGTCGATTCTAATGGTTCTCATTTCGATTAATAAAGTTTATTATGAAAGGAGTTATGATCTCTTGAAGTTGAACGTCAAAAAACGACATTATTTTTGCACCAACCTAATGTTATACATATATTAGTTGGTTGCTAATATTTGAGTATGCCTGTCTGCTAAGACAGTTAATCTGTGCCATAGACACCTGCTGAAGAACATTTGTGTTTGTTCAACACCCATAGAGCTCACTTGTGATTTATACTGAGTGGACCTTAGTTACACTTTCTGGTATGACCAGCAGTTTGAACAAGACCAATATATTCAAACAGTTGGTCATGACTTGTGACTTTGTGCTAGTACAATCATCAACAAACAATTCTGTTTACCTAATTTCATTCACAAGGCTTGTGCCAATCCATAGTATCTTCAGATACTTTCCAACAGTACCACACACCGAGATTGTGTTCCCACCAATAAGTCACCTTCTTGAAAAAATCGAGGTGAGGGTTTGAACCTGAGTTTGGAAAGTAAACGTTCTAACCACTTAGCCATGTGCCCATGATGATAATGACAATGTAATTGTGCTGTTCTAAATTATGAATAGAAAGTCCATGGATATAATCACTTTAGATAGTCTGCAGCAAACATTTGATAGAAACTTGAGGTTGTTAGTGATATAATTTGATTTTTATGATGTTAGAGATGAGCAAGGTGAAAGATTCCACCAGGGCATTAAAGTTATGAAAGAAAAGTACCAAGGCAGATGAGACAAAAGAATGATGGATGACTAATGCTGGAACTTAAAATATTTTAATTTTATTCACTTATTGTGTTATATTTATTTTGTATTTCAGAAATTCTTTTAGTTCATATTAAGATTGTGTTTAAGCTTCAAACAAGCATTTATTTATTCTTCACATTTACAGTGATCTAACTCTTCAGTTCCATTTTTTTTTTTTACATAGTATATGGTATTTTGAACCAGCAAAATTAAGCTAATGGTGGAATATGAATGTTACTTTCGGATTCAGCACCCCAAAATTGTTTAAAATCAGCCAAAACATCCCATTCCCCCTCCAGTCATAAGTCAAGGAGCATCTGTACTTTAATTATGTGAGATCATTTAATTATTATTTGTGGATTATATCTGCATATCAAGAGATATGCAGTTTGTTTTCTTTAATCAATGTACAATAAACAAAGTGATAATGCCACTAAGATGCAAGAGGTTACTGGTAGTGAAAGAGAATGAAAAGACTTTAGAAGAAACTGGAAACCCAATCTAACTTAAGATGATTATTATTTTTATTATGATAGAGTAAAACAAAGATGGCATAGAAAGTGGAAGAAGAAAGTGGCAGAATGATTACAGATTTGCATTCTGCTTAATCATTTGTTTATGTTTGTTGGATTGTTGCCCTTGACTAAATTACAGGCTGCACGATTTTTCATTTCTGACTTCAGAGCATCAACACTTTTTTCTTTCTCTCATAAAACATCTAGAATATAATTACTTCAGAGACATCAACTGAAGATGATGGTAAATTATGGATAATTTCAATGATGATATTCATTATATTTCCTTACTTTTCTGTAACCAGCTTTTGTTAATACATCTATTAACTGTTTGTCTAAATTGCAGGTCTTTTATTATCCAGATTTGCAGGAGTCTGCTAAATATTGTTTGTGGGATAAAAAATAGTAAAAGTCATAAAACAATACTTCTTTCTGTGTCCCAATATGTATCTAAAGTGGTTAGATTGATTTCCATGAAAGATGAGCTTCCAGTGTGTAGGATATTAATTAAAAATGTCTTTAGACAATCATTTTTTTTTTTTACTTGTTTTGGTGCTGTTTGTTCTAATTGTCAAAGATTATTGTGGTAAAAAGCAAACATAAGTTGGAATGAATATAGTAATGTAGTAATAATAGTGAAAAATGCTTCATCTAAAAATGTTATAAAAAAAAGATGTAGAAATATCAATTAAATTAGAGGAAATATTGTAAAGGAATTAATGCTTACCATCCTTTTCTTTACTATCTTGATATGCAACTTCAACATCATTCTAAAACACAAAAATATTTTAATATAAAGTTGTAGAAATAATTTTGACAAATTTGAACCTCTAAAAAACAAAACCTAAAAAAATAATGATTATAAAATTTAAAAAAAAAAACACTTTAAATAATTAATTTACAAAAATAAAATTTACAAATAACTGCAATCAAGTTAAGCTACTTGGTCCAATTAAAAATATATTTTTTCCTAAAATTTAATAAATTTTATTCATTTCTTCTGTAGCAAATGAGTCGACTTAAACAGTGTAAGGGACGCAACTCTTTCCGTCTGAAAATGTCTGACACGCTGCAACGCAAAACGATGTACACCAAGCACGGGTGAAATGTTGGTCTGCCAATGTCTCCAAGCAACCTGCTTTTATGGAGCCCAGACACACCTCATTAGCATGTGTAACGCGACTTTGCGTGACTGCACGAGACCGTGAATATTAAAAAGTCACGGACGCCATTTTGAATCTTTTTCTTTCCTTTCTCAACCCACAGGCCAGGCAGATGCGAGAACGTTTGTGAGGTAGGCGTTTCTATTTTCCCCCACTCCCCTGATCTCATGATCACAGAGTTGACAGGGAGGTGGTGATCGCTATCGCCGAGTACTTCTTCGAAGAGGGACGCAAAGCCTCATCGCTGCTTGTGCTCCTGTCTGAGGTCTGAGGGTCGAAGACACCGCTGTTAATTGAAGGCTACTGATATCCAAGTCACTGCCTGATGGGGCTGGCGGAACCAGAGCGGCGCCTCACTGGACTCAGGTTCCGATTCGTTCTCATTTTCTAGCGGTGGTTGCAACTGGCCGACGGACGAGGTCCTTAACGTGACGGGCACACCGTCGAATTGCATTCCGCCTGTGGGCTGATCACCCAGTGACGCGTCCGATTCCAGATTGCGGGTGCACTTGCTGTGCGGATTTTTAACCCAGACGACATCGCTTTCTTCAGCCTCTCTCCGTTACTTTCAGTTCCGCCAGTGGGTTGGTTTCTATGCCCTTCACTTTAACGTGGTACCCTATGCAATGTGTCTGCTGGCGCTGTAGAGGGTGAGACATCATCCTTCGGTGTCACGTTTGTATAAGTAGACCCGCCTCAGACACCGCGCAGCCCGCCCTGGCTGCGATGGTCTTGACGGTCCTGTGGTTCCGCCGATGATTCCATTTCCACCGGCACGTAATATACCGAACCGTAGTGCAATCCCCAGCCATCCGCAAACTTCCCGAACTGCTCGCTGGTGAATGCGGTGCCATTGTCGGTTAATATCTCCGTTGGGGGCTATGTTCAAGAAAGATGCTGTTTAACTGACGGATGATAGTGGCTGCATCTTGCCGACGCAGCAGTCGCCATATCGCAAAACCTGGATGGACCACAATCAATGAGTGTCAGGAAATGCTCGCTGTTGTGGTGAGTAACATCTATCGCCAGTCGGCTCCAGTGGTTCCTCACGCCAGCTGCCCTTTTCTTCCAGCTTAACGGGTGCTGGGTCTATAGACTGGCACGCCACGCAGCTTCTGACCACTCTCCTGACGTCTGTCTTTTGTACTCCTGGGTCAACCAACTTGGCGAAATACAGTGTCCGCTTGACTCCAGGGTGCCCACTTTGTTGGTGGACTTCTTTGATTTGATTAAATCGAACGGGACTCACGGACGCAGCGCAGGCTGGTTGCATGGGCTCAATGGCTTTCTTGGCGCGCGCAAGCCACCTTTGCGCACCCTCGTTAAACAATCTGCTTTGTTGAGGCTAGATTTGACCAGGGACACCTCCATTGTCAGTGCATACTCTTGCACTAAATTCACGATCGTGTCGAGCCGCCGCCGGATAAGCATTTCGCTGGTGGCTTTAGTCCGCACCCCTGGCCCTCCCGGTCAAGGTATCAGAGATCCACTTATAAACGCAAACGGAATCAGTGAACAGACGCAGGGTGGTCAACTTCAGAGGATCGCCAAGTTGATCCCCTTGATGACAGCATCGAGCTCCGCTAGGTTTATGTGCTGGGAGTCCTTTCTGGACGAACCAGCAAGCATCTTCTACCACGGCTCCATCGTGAACTATCGACACGCTGGTTGCAAGAGAGCTTGCATCAACCCACACAGAGGTCTTGGCTGTCAACGCACCATCTGCCCCGCTGGGTCTTCCTTTTTTGCATTCTAGAGAGGACCTCCTTCATCATGGTGTTGAGAGGGGTCGTGAACTTCGCCATTCCATCCAGTGGTGACGCCAGATGCTCTCCGCTTGATAAACGCCACCGCAACACGCAGCCAGCCACCTACAGGAAGGTGTCCAACCAACTTGCTGCACAAGGAAAATATGCTTCGCCGCTGCGTGACAACGGAGGGCATGTCTGGGAGTTTGTTTCCCGTTTCCAATACAGGACGCCATCTTCTCCCCAGACCTGCAAACCAAGCACCGTGCACCATCCTGTAGTCTCCGGTTCCTTGCTGAGGAGGCCAAAATTGTAGAGATGCTCCTTCACGCGCCCGCAGATATGACTCCCTCGCTCACGTAATCAATATATGCAGATGTTGCCCGCTGTATGCGCCATCCTTCGTTAGAATGGCGTCAACAATCATCTGCATAATCGATGGCGCCACATTGAGTCCAAAACCCCATGCGGGTCAGGCAATACTGTTGCCCCTTGATAAGCACGGTTTGATAGGGCCACAGTGATTGGTGCACACGCACTTGAAGGTATGCCTTGGCGAAGATCCAGCACAGATACATTTGATCCTGCTTGTCGCCATTCCCTTAGCTTCTCGGTACACACGTCCGCTGGCAGGCAAAAAGGTCCACGTGCTCGCTCAGTTCTCGATAGTCGAGCACCGGCCTCACTTTTTGTTTGTTGTGCTGGAGAACCGCCATTAGCGGGATCAGGCCCTTTTGGGGGCCCCAATTCCTTCTCTGGATAAGGAACCAACCACCCGCTATTAATCCAGGCTCGCAATTCCTTGTCGCATTCTCACGCAGCTCGCTGGGGGATTTTATACTCCGCACACTGTTGTACAGCTTCTCTGGTGGTTGATCGCCTGACCATTTCCAAGATACCGCCCAGGACTTTGTGCGCTGGTCGAACTCCGACGAAAGTCAGGCCGCTCCAGCTCCATTGCTGCACCTAGAGCTAGACCTGTTTCAGTGAAACGCCCACCCTCTTCGTCAACACGGACACCACCCAATTTTTTTGATGACGTCCATTCCCAGGAGCAGATCATAGCCGAGCAGCCCTCCGTCCCAAACCAGGGCTTGTACAGCTACTGCAGGCCCATCGCCGATGCTTATGCGGATGACGCCACTCCACAAGAGGTTAGCGAGCCCCTGCCAACAGTCAGAACTGGAATACTTTTCTTGTCCCACGGTCACAACATGCCTTGGCGCTGGGGTCTGGGTGCACCCGGTGTCAACAAGCGCCAAGCTCCACGCCGCTAATCCGCAGACGCTCACTGTGGGTAGCGCCTTGTTCAGCGGCGATCTGGGGAGAAGACTGGCGCTGTAAGCTTCCCCTTGCCCGTTTCCCGCCAGCTTTTGCTACGTGGCCCAGCTTGTCGCACCTGTAGCAACGCATACGCCTCCGTGTTCCTCGGTTATCGCGTATCCTTCGCACCGCTTCGCAGTCTTTGGAGAAGTGGTTCAGTCCGCCACATTTATAGCACCTTATGTCCTCAGTTGGCGGTGCGGGTGCTTCCACAGCTGCTGAGGCCGGCTCCGCGTCATCTTTTAGAATGTTCCGGGCTCAGAAATCAGAAATTAAATTTTTATTAAAAATGTGCATATCAGAACAACAAACAAATAGGGAAAAAACAACAACACTGTTGATATGTTGTGAACACTTACCAAAGCTCTTTTTTTCATAAACCGTAAATAAATTTCTGCACGAGTGTTCAATAAAACTAATTCTGACAGCAGGACATCTAATTCTTTGCAGTCTAATCTAAATTAATAAAAATTACAAAAATATATTAGAATTATTGTTATGTCTTCATTCCATTGAATGAAAATAACACAATCATGAAATATAATATTGCTTGGAGTCGATCTAGTCTTACTGAATTCTGTAGTAAGGATATATGGCTCGCTTCTGGCTAGCTCTCTCCTGACAATTCTCGGCATCAGTATATATGCTATTTGGATGAGACCAAATCATATTCTGGAGTGGTGTATTCATCTCCACAACACACCCCTTTTTAGATATGCATTTTCTTTAGTCGATACCTTTTCCAACATGGGTCCACTTACAATGTTTCAGTTGGATTACGTTTTTGCTCCCTCTGGCATTGTATTGTAATATTAGTTTTAGGAATAGGTATTCCAAAGGTATCATATAAAGTATGTCCATCAGTGAATTAAAAGGTACTGGTTGCTTATTCTGTGAATATCTAGACCTTAAGTGATTTATATTGAAATCATACACCTTTGAGAATGTACATCATACTACCAAGGCATCAAATAATTTTTCCTTCCTGCCAATTTTTCTTAACAGCTTTGAAGCTTTTAAAGAAGACTTTATTGCCAATCTTAAATGATCTGGTAATTTCAAACTGTCGACTTTTCCTTTTATTTCCTGGCAGTAATTTGCCAAAAATGGATCTAACTTTCCTAGCAAACATGAGCTCTGCAGGTGACATTTTTGCGGCGATGTTTGCATTTGACATCATTTGATATATATTCAAAAATTCTTGCAGTGCTGTTTCCTCAGTTTTTAAACCTTTAGCTTTACTTAATGCCCTTTTGGAGGCATCATAAACTACTCAGCTTGATCATTTAACCTCAGATGATAAATTGGCATTGTCAAATGTTCAAACGAGTAGATTTGCAAAAATTTTAAAACTCACTAGAAGTAAATTGAGATGCATCATTGGATACCACACTGTCAGGTACTCCAAACCTTGCAAAAAGTTCATGTAAGAATTTAATTCATTATTGCAGTATTAGGTCATTTACACTTTAATATCTTGGGCCATTTTGTGAAACTGTCAACCACAATTAAATAGTATGAACTGTTTAGTGGTTCAGTAAAGTACATGTGTAGTCTTGTCCACAGCTTATCAGTACTTGGCCATGTCTGATAATTTAGAGGAAGTGATTTGGCTGCAGAATTATAATCATTACATTTTCTAACTGTATTTTGAATATCTTAGGTCAATACATGTAGCTTCTTATCAGGGAATTCATCCTTAATATTCCAAGACGTCCTACATGGAATTGTTTCAAAATCCTTTTTTGTAGTGATAACGAAATTACTACTCTCTCCGATAGTTTTTTTGAATAAACATATCCTTTTTAAAATTAATTTTGATATTGTCTATTGTGACCAGCAATTCTTTAATAGTGTTATACACCAGGCTCTTAAATTCACTTTTGGATTCCAGTGAAGCAAGAAAAAAATTATTAGATTGCATGAGAAATTATATAAAGAACTAAATAAAAGCACCTTGTCTATTGTATTCAATGAAATGTGCATAAAAGAAGGATTGCTGCCTAAATACACAAATTCCTTTGAATGAAGATAACACAATCATGAAATATAATGTCACTTGGAGTCAATAGTCTTACTGAATTCTGCAGTACAGATATAAGGATTATTCCTGGAGATTCTCAACATCAGTCTATATGCTATTTGGATGAATCTAAGTCATATTTTAGAGAGGTGTGTTCAACTTCACAACAATTTTATATATATATATATATATATATATATATATATATTCATTGCACTGCTGTCTATATGTCAAAAGGTTAATCAAATTTAGAAAACCTTTGAAAGTTCGGCATTATCAATGGTCTTAATTAGGGCTGGATTATTTTTTAAGTTAATGTAAGCTGCAGCCTAAGTGCCCCTCAAGTTTTTATAAAGCAATGATTTTAATTTTCTAAATGTTATAACTTCTAAATAGTTTCCTAAACTGAAATGATATCAATATGACAAACTCATTTATTTTGTGTTTTATTGTTATAATGCTGGTTATAAAAAAAAATCTTTTTTTTTCTATGCTTGTGTTGAAATATGTGCTAATTTGGTTTGCAATAAATAATAAAATTGTGGTATTTCTTAAAGAATATTTTTATTGACAAACAAAAGATGCCTATTCTAGTTTATTTAAAAATTTGCAATAAGTTTATGTCAAGATGTTAAATGTCACTAATATATATATATATATATATATATATATATATATATATATATATAACAAGTAAAAAATATTCAAGACAGGTGCAGGTGAATTAGAGAGTGGTCTGTTTGGGGGTGTCCCTTAATTTCATTAGCCAAGGGCTCCAAAAGTTATAATCTGGCACAGTCCTAATGTGAAATTCCTTTTCATCAGAACATTCAATGAACAAACATTGATACTTTCTCTGATGTCATCAAAAGATCTGGATAGTATTGAAATATAAACTTGTATAAAATATACAGTACTATTATCAAGCTCTCAAATTTACTGTTAAATAGGACTTAATAATTTATATATTTTTTCATGAATTCAATTATAGACTTAAAAAACATAACTTTTAAATGAAAAAGATAACCTGAAAATTCTTATCAAGAGTTAAGCGAGGTTTATAAGATTGAATTTAATAATAGAGAAGATCTGAAATCCCTTCAAGATGTAATTTATTTATTGAAAGAATAGTTTTGATATGAAAGTCACTTTGAAAAGGAAGGATATAGAATTTCAAATGAGTTTAATACTTCCAGGTTATGAATAAAATAATTAAAATAAAAAGATTAAACTTAAGATTTCTGAAAAAGAAAAATTGTTTTAAACAAATTTTTATGAAGAGAACATACTTTTCTGAAATGGATTTTGAGAATAACATACTCTGTTGGACTTGTTGAATCTGCAAAGAAAGAAAAATGGAGGAATCATTTAGCAGATATGCAACAAAAGGATTAATTTTTGAGAATATGTTCTTAAGATTAAATTAGATTATCAAATGTTAATAGCAGGAAATTCTTGATCAATCAATGTTGTTAAATAACAGATATTAACTAAACTATTGCTGATCACCGAGATTCTGAAATTAAATATTTTTATTATTACATGGAATTTATTATCATTTTACTTAGAAATTAATCTTTTTACTGCTTTTTACCACATTTCAAGCCTATTATCATTAAATTTAATGGTTAAAAGAAAAGATTGTTTAAAGATATAAAAAAAGAAGAGAGATGAAAAACTTGTCAAAACTAAAATAGCATTTTAGGTTAAAGTAAACATTTAAAATACAAAATGAATTTATTAAGAAAATATGTGAATAATGCATTGTAATCAGAAAGCAATTTCAAGTATACCAGGTGTAAGAGTAAAATTGCCCAAATTATGTAACAGCTTACATGACACAGTGGATAAAGGTGTTAGTTAGATCTAGGACCCAAGGAGTGTGAGTTCAATACCCAGCTAAGGCAGTGGAGAACTTTCAGAGGGAAATTAACAGGAGATAACTGATAACTGACATCCATTAAACATGGCACGTGGAACTAGAACACTCTACACCAGTGAGCGAAATAAAGGGTTCAGTTTGACATTCCAACCACCTGAAGAAGGCTGGAGCATACAACGGCTGAAACATTGTAATAAATATGGCAACAAAGATGAGGACAATAGTCCGAATAATGTAAATAATACCTCATCTCAGAAATATAGATAGATATCAATGCTGTTAGCACACTTTCAAACTTAACATTTGTAAATAACAGCTAAGTGACTTACGTGAAGGCCAATAACTGTAAAAGATAGTGATTTATTTGATACTGTATCAGTATTGTATCCTCACTTCTAAATTGATAACAAATTAATATTTTTTTTCAATTCTAACAAGTGTTGCAGCCTAAGGAAAATCTAAAGAATGCTAATCTACAAAAATTATTTCCTAAAAAAAAAATTTTCCATAATTTTATGAGTGGACCTGTTTATTTAAGTAAGTGACTAAATGCTAAATATTTTAAAGATGGGTAAAGAATTTAATAATTGCGATTATTTATTAAATAACATCCTGCCTTTAGTGTTGATTTTAGCTACTGTGCACACAAATTGGTTAAGCTGGGTTTTTTTTGTTATTTTCTTTTTGATATTACCATTTTACAATAATGTAAATGTTTTTGTTATTTTTCCTGTTGTTTTAATATGTCAATTTTAATTTCATTTAATAAATGTTAAATACATATCCTCAAAATGCAATATTGACTTCATCTGTGACATTAATTTATTTTGCCTACTTATGTGATGGCATTTGTAGTGTATGCAAATTTACATTTTGAATGTTTGCAAACTTTTTTGGCTCAGTTTATCAATTTCAGAGATGTTTTTGTGTCAAATGCCAAATTTGTGTAATCTCTATAGGAATAAAAATAACAATTGTATCTCTAAGATTTTATATATATATATATATATATATATATATATATATATAAATTCAATGACCCCTGACTGTTCACAGATTACCAAAAAAGATGGTTTATGCTTTGGATGAATAGACCTGCAACAAGCTTAGAAAAAAAATTCACATCTTATTTGCACATAAATGTTCACAACTTGAGAATCTAACTGATGGCTTGAAAAGACTGGATTAACACAGATACAGTCATTAACATGGAAAAACAAAAAAAAATGTTACATTTGCAAAGAATGTGAAGTCAATGGTTATTCAATCTGTTATTGTTAAGTGTGAAAGTGCAGATGATGAACTGATAACTTATTTAGCTTCATAATTTATTTGACTCCTCTTTTAACTATAATATTGCATTGGGTCATCAGTTTTCAATTATAGCGAGTTTGACTTTTTATTGTTTATAAGTTTAGTGCGATTCCCAATAAAGAAAAAAAGGGCAAAATATCAGCAAATTTCAGCCATCACCTAAAATGACATCCTAATTTTGCTATTTTGTCTTTATTCTTTAAAATTACCACAGAAATTGATGAATGAATAATAATTTCACGAGATACCTTTTCAGGCAATTTTCATCAATTAATATGATTTTGATGTTACCTTTTCTTAATTAAGTTATAACTCAATTTTTGAAAATTCTTAGTTGCACTTGGATTTAGCTGCTAACAAATAGGCATAAATTATGTAGTTTTCAAGCCAATTATTTGAAATGTTGAGTTGCAAGATAGAAATTGCTTTAAATGAAAATTTATACATCATACTTTCAGGAAAAAAAAAAATTTTCATTATTATATATTGCGATGTGGATAATTTCAGAATGAACTGTAAAATTAGGATTGCATAAAAGAGAAAAATGTAGGCCTGTTACCCAGGAAAAACTTAAAATTTCAGAGAGGTAAGTAAATAGTTGATAAATATTAAATTTTGATCAAAACATTTTGTGGAATGACTTTCCTTGTAATTAGCAATCTCTAAATGAACTAATTGAATTTTATTTACCAAAAAGAGAATTAACCAATTTTTACCACCAAAAAATATGTCATGTTCAGGTCTTCAAAATTTAGACATGTTTGTAGCTCTTTGAAAAAAATGAATATCTCTTAATTGGAAAATGATACAAACTGAATTTTTTGTTGAATCAGAAATTTATTCAGGGTTATAAAAAAGACATGACGATATATTTTGTTTTTTTCATCCTAACTCTAACCCACTGTGAATAGAATAATAGCTTCATAATGACAAGAGTAACAAGATTAATAACATTCAATAATGAAAGAGTGTTTCTTTTATATAACTATGATCTGTTCAGTTGATGGTCTTTTCCTGAACTCCAAATTTTCACTCCCAAACCATAAAGGTAAGTTATCATTCTCCAAACAGAAAAATCATAATATTTATTTAAATGAACATTCATAAAACAGAATTTTAAACAAACGTTTATAAACAAAAAACTGCAACAAAATGAATAGAAGTGCTAATACAATGTTAAAAAATAAATTGAATTAAATATGTGTGTTAATTGTTTAGCAGACTATTATTTTTAGAGGAAGTGTATCATGGATCTAACTTCCTGAGGTTGACAGCCGAAGTCAGATGGGAGCCATAATAGGGAAGTTGATTTTGATTGACTAAGTTAGTGTGGGAATGGGATAGGAGAATGGTTTCAGTGAGTTGTTTCTTACTCGTCAAGTGATGTAGACGTGTTCTCTTTCGTGCCCGAAATGGCTCCCCCTCCATTGGATAGTTAGATAATGTACATGTCAACATGATTAATAAAAATAGTTAACATTCTCTCTGTTTGGAGTCTTTCATTGCTGAACCAAAACTATTAGTTATTGCTAGCCAAGAGAAAAAGCTGTCAACACGTAACATATGTATTTTCAGTCAGAACACAATTTTAAAAAGACAAAAATACAATGTTCTTACCTTGTAATCAAACTCTCTACGTTTTTTAAATTCCTTTATTGTTAATCTAGATTGCCTATCACACTCTTTCTGTAAAAGTATCAGCATAATATCCAACTTTCCAGGACCTGAAAAGACAATTGTTGATATGTTGTTGATATTCTTACTTTTGTGGGGAAACAAAATGAGATCAATAAGTAAAATAATAATAAATAATAAAAAAAGACAGAAAAAGAAATACATCTTCCCCATGATGCTAAAGGAACCGGAAATAGGATTACCCCACTTGGTTTCATCAAATACCATGAAGCCACATTGGTTTAGTCTATAAAAAGACACACATTTTCCTTCTTGAGCCTCTCCCTCCTTTTTGCTCCAAGAATTAGAACCAAAAGAACGTTAGATTCCCCCAGTGTGCTAACTGCTGAACTAAGAAAAAGAAAATGGACATTCCATAATAAAGTAGGTACAAACTTTTTTTGTTCCAACTAGAGAACAAAGCTGACTCGACCGCTACCATTAATATGATGCTTATAATTACTTACCCAAACTTATGGACCAAAAAGAAAATGGACATACCGAAGAGACATTAAAAAATTTGTTTCACTAGTTTATATAAAAAAAGAAAATAAACAGCCTGTGGTAGAAGCCCAAGATTTTGTATGCTTCTTAATTGTTTATCATATGTGAACACGCACACATCTAAAATACCCACAAACACACAACTATGTTAAGCAAAATATTTACTTTAACAATACCACACTGTCAGTAAGTTGAACAATTTAATGAATCAGCTATAATTCAAGTTTGTTCTTTAAGTTTAAAATATAATTTCTTATCATTTTTTTATTTTTATTTTCTTGACTCATAAAATCAAGATGACTGCATCAGTAAGAACTAACTTCAAATAATAAAATTAACTATTACCAAAATAAATATATGACTATTGTTTTTTTTCTAATTCTTGCACCACAAGAAGAAATATACTCATAACATTTTCTCCATTCCTTCCCCAAGTGAAACATTGAAATTCATACATGCTGGATATTAAAAGAAAAAGTACAGATCATTTTCAATATAATTAGAAATGTAAAATTTCAGATTATATATATATATATATATATATATATATTCATATCTAACCATTGTCCAGAGATTCTGATCAAATCCTATTTGCATCTCCTATTTATGCCAATGCTTAGCATGAATCTATAGATTTGTAGTGACTACGTTTTTCCACGCCTGCATTTTATTCGTCTGCGATTGGCTAATAAATCAATACTGTCTTTCTATAGGACAATTTAGCCATCGCAGCCCTGCTTTGAATTTTTCAGTTTTGAACTTGCTTACTTGTTTTGTTAGTACAAATTTAGCGATTGGTCAAATTTTAACCAATCACATATTTTAGTGCAAAATCAACTTTTCCTGCAGTTTCACTAGGAGCCTATCTGTAACTTTAAAAGAGGCGACTTTTTCACAAGCTGCCAGGAGAGTCCAGCAAATTTCGCCTGTCAACACAAACCTATGACTTTACTCACAACATTTCAAATGCACACACAGACACAGAATCTTGTAATACATATATACATATCGCTCTGTGACTCAGCCAAGTTCAATCAACCAGGACTCTATTGATTTCTCTAACACAACACACTTTCTAATCAATTGTATTCTTGTGTTATCTATTCTAACAGCAGACTTGTTCTAACATTGATACCTGAACTTTTTTCTCTCAAGAGAACTTTCTTTCGAACAATCAATTACAAATCAAAATACGGTAAAAGGGAAGCAACTTCTTTTTTCCTTAATCTATACATTGAATACAAATTATTGTATATTTTGTTCTTGTATGTTATTTCAATATATACTTGTTGATTCACATTTGGAGTTTTGTTGTTTTCTTGAATCCTTAATAATACAAAAAGATATATGCACAATGAACATGCATAACAGATTTATACTGTTAGTATTTACATTATAGATTAAAATAAACACTATTATATAGCTTCACAGTTGGATGAGGAAACTCAAATTATTCTAACCATATATCTTAATTGATAATCTATTTCTAGTAGTTTCTTGTTCTAAATTGAAGTACTTGGCATGTTTTCTTTTATTAATGAAGAATAGTACAAAGATTTTTACTAGTTAACTTAAAGTTTGGTTTGTCTATATTGCTGAGATGAGGTATTGTAACTATTTATATTGTTTGGACTTTTGTCCTCATCTTTACTGTAACATTCACAACATTTCAGCCATTGTATGCTCCAGCTTTCTTAAAAGGCTTGGTTTTAATATTCCAACAAATATCACCTGAAGGCAAGAGAATACAATGGCTGAAATGTTGTGAATGTGACAGTAAAGATGAGGACAACAGTTTGAACAATGTAAATAAAAGTTTGGTTTATTAATTAAAAATAAGAGACATTATGTTCAGTCATCTTTAAGGTTACTTCATAATTTTAACCTCTCATAACATTTTGGCTTTCTCGGCATACTATTCTAAATGCCTTGAGTATTCAAGAGAACTGAAATTTAAAAATAAAAAAACATGCTGTCAAACCCTAATTAAAAGCAATCTTTGAGAATGAAGTTCATGTTCGTTTTATCTTTAGAACTCACCATAATATGTTTCCACAAGTGGTTGATGAGTTTCAACAATCCGTGCAATCCTCTCAAACATCATTGTAATGACATCTGCAAAAAGGATTTTGGATCGTTTGTCATCATCTGATATTTTTATGTTCTCTGTCAGAGATTTACCAACTGGCTCGGATAACTGAAAGAGAAGGAAAAATGGTTATTAAAAACTGTGCAACTATGAATGGTGGGTAACACAATGCACTTTTCATAAAAAAAGCAATATGTGAGGAAAAAAAAACACCCAAAACTCATGTGAAAGTTAATTTTATTATCATAATGCTTGTGCGTGAGTGTGTGGGTTTGATATCATCATAATGCGTGCATGTGTTATTACTAATGTAGTATGTGGCTTGCCTGAGATCATGCATGATATACTTTGAACTCAGTTGTGAAATCAGAGAACTGCAAGGCATGAAGTATTGCAGACAAGTGAAATATTAGTTTGTTGGTAAGAAATAAAGAACACAAATTAAAAAAACAAACAAAAATGAGCAAAAAGATTATACAAAATTATAAAATATAACTCACTTGTGCTGCCAAATATTTGCCAAATTTGGTGAGACCTTCTTCATGCAAACCAAGTAAAGGAAAGATCTTAAAGAACCGTTCCACTGATGCAACATCTCCAGAATGAACTGAAGCATCAAATTTATTCCGAACAATTGTCTTCAGTTTCTCTTCAGCTTCATGCAGCATTTTGAATGAAGTGTCCAGTGTACTACCTAAAAATCAAAACAAAAACTTAATTATCAAAGTATTAGCTATGTCATCCAAAAATAATGACCATATTTAAATTTCAGGAGTACAAGGTAATTAAAAAAATACTATCCATTTATCTGTGAACTAAAAAATAATTTAAGATATAAATAAATTATAACATTTTATTTGTCAAATTTTAAAATAACAGAAGTGTTCATAACAAAGTGATGAGCAATTCTATGTAGCAGACTCATCATATATATAACCCAGTTATACAGACACAAATATATAGTGAAGTGACTGGTGAATACTTTGAAAAAGGGTTGGTAAATATAGTACTTAGGCAGGTATGAAGGAAAAGTTAGTGGGAGTGATGCCATTATATATAAACACAAACTCATGCCAAAAGGCAGTACACTAAAAAAAAAAAAGAAAGTCTAATAGAAAAGCAGTTGTTTTTTTTTCAGTGTATCAAAGTTATTTCCTTTACTTTTGACAAGAAGTGATACATTTTTGTTGTATTAAAAATTAAATTATTAAATGGCATTTTTTAATTTAATAGCGTTGATACGATCAAAATTGGTAGCTGATCTCAAAAATGATCTTTAATTTGCTGTTAACTTGGGCAATAAATGGCTTGTTAATTTTTTAACAACTCCAAACTGAAACTGCTATTTGAATCGTCTTAGAGAACCCTTTTTGCCTTCTATCAGAATGGGCAATGCTAACCTCCAGGAGAGTGACTCATTGTGCCTTCTTGGTCTCAGGCTAACATTTTCTATGGATATACAGTGAAACAATTATATTGAGGCTACTTTCTAGGAAAGTTGGTTCACCATTGCAGATGCTCTTATCTATATTTCTACTGTGTCCATTGCAATTTTATTTTAGGAATCTTGATAAAATGCAATACTGCTATTTTTTTCAGTTTTGTAAAGAGTTTTTTTAGTTTTACCTATACATTTGAAAAGAGCTTACCCTCACTGGCATCACTTGCCATTCTCAAAACATTTTCATCCAAACTTAGGAAACGGTGAATGTGCCCAGCTGCCTGTAAACAAAAAGAATAAGAAATAAACATATTGTTTAACATTATGAGGAGATGCTAAAATCCTCTTGGCACAATCCACTTCTCAAAATTTGACTAAACCTCAGAATTTTTATTGGAACCATTTCTTGATTAATAACTTTTCAGTATGCTTATTGTATAACAGGCAACAATTTCTATAAAAATATATTACGGTATTGGCATAAAAAGACCATGAAAGTGCCAATTTTAACTCCTTGGACATTCTGTCACTAAAATACGGATCCTTTTTTATTAAATTTTAGTACAAAAAAAAAAAAATTTAAAACAAATTAAAATAATAAAAAATAATAAAATGATAAAATTGAAAAAATAAAATAATATTATAAACAATTCTGTAATCTTTCACAAGTCTGCAGAGAATATCAGGTAACATATTCTTTGGTGGTGCCTTACTAAATATGTTACTAATTTCTTAATACTAACAGAACAGGATAAAAAATTAACTACTTGAGAATGGCTTACAAAATATGCCATGAGAAATTTCTTTGTTCTGAGCCTTCTTAATTGTATAGTGATTCAAAAACAATCTGTTAATAGAGATGAAAGTAATGATTGTCCTAGAGTGACTAATGAAATCTTTCACAGCCATAACATTACAAAAAAGTGTTTAATTAAATGCTATAAAATCTATATGAAACTGAGGGCTTTAATGCAAACCTTTTCATAATCTTCACCCTGAAGAGAAGATTGTACTCCATCTGTACAGAATTTGAGATCTAATACATCTTCAACACGTTGAATAGAAGAAGTCACTCGACTCTGGAAAATGAACATAGGAAAAAATATTATTGAAGTTGACAGTATCACATGTCAGGAAAAAAAGAAAAAAACAAAACAAAGGAAGATAGGAAAAGATATGTATGCAAAAGGAAATATGAAGATATAACTTATTTAGAAAATTCATGTATTTAATGTACCCCTAAACACCACTAAAATAAAAAAGATGGAATTTTCCTTAACTCCAACATCTCAAAATATCAAATTTGTCTGGACTTATAAATTAGGTAAATCAATTTCTAAAAAGTTATTTTTAGCATCACTTGATACGGGAATAGAACTTTGTATTTTAGGTTTAATTTGTATGATTGAATTTAAATTGAAGTTTCAGTTTTGAAACATGGAAATTTCAGTGTTTCAATGATTATAAAAAAAAAAACGATTACAATATATATATATATATATATATATATATATATATACACACACATCACCACATATATACACAAAAACATACATATATACATACCTACTAAAAACCCTTTAAAAATATGTGGAAATCTATTTTAAATTAGAATTAATAAGAAAGGAAAAAAGGGTAAGAAAAGAAATAAAAATAACAAAAAGAAGAAAAAAGAAATTAACATTTTTTTATATTATAGTGTTATAAAGTCAAATTTAAATAAAATCAATAAAATAAAAAAAATATATAATAAAGAATAATTCAATAAAGATACCTTATTGTAAGAAAATAGGAAAAAAATGAAGTAAGGGTAATATTAAAGATATTATTGATGGTCACCAATGTATTAATAGTAATTTAGTGATAGAGAAAAGATATTTTTGTAATGGGTAAGTGATGGGAAATTTTGGAAGGATATATTCAATATAGTCTTTCCACTTCATGTCAGTACCATAGAAAGTTAGAACAATTATCATGAGAAGAAAAGGCACAGGAAAGCAATGAGTCACTTTCCTGGAGGTTAGCATCAGCCATGCTGATGGAAGGCAGAAATTCTAAGGGATCTTGGTCAGATGATTAATAATGAGAGCAGTTTTTTTTGGAGGCATTAAAATTAACAAGCCATTCTTTTTGCCCCAGTTAACAACAGACTGAAGGTTTTTTTGACATCAGCCACCAATTTGACCTTATGGAACTGATCAAACTTACTATCGAGACAGGAGTAAATGGTTGTGTCATCAGCATAGATACAAAGTTGAGAACTTATGCCATCAGGAAGGTCATTAATGAAAATTAAAAAATTAAAAAAAAGTAGACCAAGGATAGAGCCCTGGGGACACCTGCATTAGTACAAAAGGATCTAGAAGAGTGGCCATTCAGGATAACTTTCATTTCATGATTTGATAAGAAAAGACTGAATCAGTTCAAAAATTTGTCTGGAGACACCATAACTTTTCAACTTGTGAAGAAAACCTGTATGCCAAACCCTGTCAAAAAATTTTCAAGATGTCCAAAGCAACAGCCCAAGTACTTCACCATTCTTATCTAAAGCTTGATAGACTCTTTTCAGCAATTTTCGTTAATACATCAGCAGTTGACCTAGAGAAACAAATTATATTGCTTGTCTGAAAGAAGGCCCTTTGATGTGAGATGATTAACTAATTCAGCATTGATTAGGGACTCTAGTAGTTTACCAAAAAGAGGTAGAAGGCTAATAGAATGATAGAAGAGTCAGATGGTTCACCCAAATTTTTAAAGACTGGAACAACAGATGAGGATTTCCAACAAGCAGGAAAGCAAAATGCAGTGATGCATTTATTATACAGTCCAGAGAGAACAGAAGACAGTTTGGGAATGCACTTCTTAAGGGGTCTATTACAGGGATATCATCAGGTCCACATGCTTTGTGGAGATCCAGATTAGAGATGATAGCAGAAACTATAGATGGGGTTAAAAGCATATCATTCAACAGAGTTCTAAGTGGAAAGTTAAGCAGGGATACTCCAGATGAGTCAAAAGTAGAGTTTAAAGAGAATTTATGGGTGAAACATTCAGCCTTATCAGCAGATGTTAACACCTCAAATTGGTTGGAGAGAGGAGGAATAGAAAACTCTTATTTAATACACAATTACAGAGCCACTTGTCATCATGTGAGCCAATGTTGTTAGATGCAATACAATGTCTAATTCTCTGACCAAACAAAGACTTAGCTCCTTTAAGGATATGTTTACATTTATTTATTTTGCAGCCAAATAATAGGCATCTGTTGTTGTGATCAGAACTGTCATGCTAAATAGCCAGAAAATAGTGGTTCCTGTGTGCTATAGCAAAAAAAATGCTGGTGTGAACCATGGAGAAGATTGAGGTTTCACCTGGTATTTCAAGAAGGAATGAAAAACATCTATGCCAGCTTTGACCCAAGAAAGAAACCTCAATGGCAAATTTCAATATGATGGTTAAAAATATCAATTCAAGAGCATCTTGAAACCCATGGAGTGCATCCCAATCAGCATACTGGTAATGGGAGGTCTTATGAATATGAGGTTCCTGTCTAATAGATGATTGGAATGAAATATCAATAGGTACTACAGAGTGATCCGAGTTACCAAGAGGACAGTGTTGTGAAGATCAACTAGAGCTAGAGAGATGAAAAGAAATAAATCAAGTAAAGAAGCATGTTGCTCAGATTTATTAATTAAATAATTTATAATTTTTTTTTTTCATTTGAGTAAAGATTGAGCAATGGAAAAATTGAAATATCTGAATACCAGTAACATCATAGAAAACATTAAATAAGCCATGTGTTGTGATGTACAAAACATTAAAATCACTGAACACAAAGAAATTTTTTTAGATGGATGAAGAGAAAAATCAATTTCTTATACTGTCTTTAGAAATTTTGTCTAATATATTGCAGTTAAATGAAAGAGGGGATTCCTTTTTTCAGATAACTAAAATAAAAGTAATAACAAAAATAAAAAATACATGAAAGAATTGTCAATAAATTTATTTATTCCTTTTGAAATATTTTAAGATTATCCCAGGTGTAAATATTTCCATGCATGTTAAACTTTGAAAATTTCATAAAGAAAAAGATAGCCTGAAATCAAAAATTCAGTAATAATCAATAGAATTCAGTCATTTTGAATTTTGCAAAAAGTAAAAAATTTTAAATGATTTTTATTCAAAAGAAAAATTAAAATTATTTTTCCATAAAATGGATATTAAGAAAAATTATTGGAAAAAAAAATTTTTATTTTTAAATTTTTTATGTTACTAAGTTTTTATATTTTTTTTCATTATTTTTGTCATTCATTATGTTTTAAAGGAAATTTCTAATTTAAAAAAAAAATCAAAATTTTGTATAATCAGTCATCAATGGCATTAAACCAAAACATAAATAGAACAAAAATTTTTAATAAAAAGAAAATAAATATTTTATTCTTAGATATATATGAATTTGATTTAAAATGCCCATTTTTTTTTTAAAAGATTGGATTCCTTTATATCAATATATTTTTTTTCAAAAATTTTATTTCAGTCTTTGGGACATTTTCATAAATTTTAAAAAAAAATTTATCTTTTTATAAAATTAAAAAATTATATTCATGGATTCAATTTAAAAAATTTTAAAAAAAAAAAAAAGAAAAGAAAAATCCATCTTGATTTAAAAAAAAAAAATTTAAATTTATTATTTTTTGTAAAAATTATGTTTATATTTAAATTTTTCATTTTATTTTTTTTAAATTTATTGTTCTATAAACATATCATTTTTTTTTTTTCAATATATTTGCTTAGTTTTTTTACCAAATTTGATTTTTCCAAATCATTAAAAAAAAAAACATCTCATTTTTGTTTTTTAAAAAAATTTTTTTTTTTTAAATGTCAAAATGTTACTTTTTACTTTCCAAAAATGAATCTGATAAATAAAAAAAATTTTTCAAATCTATTAACATTTAAATTTATTGTTAAACAAGTTTTTTTATAAATAACTGATTTTGAAAAATTTAATAAACTTGATTAAACCATAAATTTCATTTTTAATATTCATTGAGAAAATGAAAAAAATTGGATCTGAATTGGAGAAATTGATATTGAAAAAAATATTCTAATGTTTTTAAATGATTTTTCATTTGTTTAATTATTCTTAATGTAATTTTTATTCTTTTTCTTTTTATGGATATTTTCAAAATTATGAAAATCAAAGGAATATTTTTATAAAAATTTTTTCAAAAACAAAAAAAAAAAAAGAAAAATTTTTTTTTTCTGTTTTTTGTTTTTTTTTATTTTTTTTTAAAATTCAAACAATTAAAAAAATTTTAATTTCATATTTAAAATAAATATATTGGTTTTTAAAGTTTTTTTGATAATTATTGAAATTTGAAAATTTTTTGTTGATTGAAAATTTTTCTAATTTTTAATTAATTTGAAATGGAAATTTATTTTTAATGAGTTTATATAAAAAAATTTAATGGAAATTTTTTTTTTTTTATTTTAATTACAAATTATTTTTAAATAAAATTAATAAATTTTTTTTTATTTTCAAAATTGATTTTAAATTTTTCCTTTTTAAAATAATCATTTTGTTAAATTTTTTTTTTAAATTTTATTTAAAATTTTTTAACAATATTTCTGAAATATTTTTAAAAATTTTCATATTAAATTATTTAAATATTTAAAAAAATATAAATAAAAAATAATTTTATAAATAATTTTATTTTAAATAATTTTTAAATTATGAAAAAATTTTGCATAGACTTTTTTTTTATTTTTCAAAAATTTTTTTTTTTCTTTTTTAAATTTCTCAAAAAATAAAATTTAGTTTTTTAAATAAAATAAATTTTAAATTCTTTAACATAAATATTTTTAAAAGAATTTTGAAAAATAAATTCGTTCTTAATAAAAAAAAAAAAAATCTTTTTAAACTATTTACCAACATAGATATTTTAATAAATTTTTTTTTTAAAAAAAAATTTTTTTTAAACAAATTTTCTAAATCATTTCTTATTTAAAACCAAACATTTTTAAAAAAATATTTAAGTAAAGATAAATTTTCTGTTTTTTTTTAATAAAATGAAAGAAACATGAAAAAACA